CAGTATTTATTACCCTTCAAGATGTGCAACAGTTATATTCACTCAATGGCAAATTTAAAATTGGGGTGTGGTATAATACTTGATGATTAAGTACCAACGAGGAACAGATGGTGAGAGAGGACACAACTGGTTTGCAGCTTGCAGAGGTTTAGCCATGAAGCCATTAAGCTATCACATTCCCTTTTCTGATAGGTTTTTGGTCAATGAAAAATTGAAGACAATCCTTGATTTTGTATGAGGTCTCAAGCTGTAATTCGTGGCACTGGTAATATTTCAAAAACGCTGAAGTTCTCTCTGTGTTCAGTAGTTTTCAACTGATGTGTTATTGGGATAGATGCTCTTGTCTGTTTTTATTGCTATTGAGATTAATGTATCTTGTCATAAGTAGGTTGCTCTTAAATGCAAAACTGCTTAAGGGTATCTTTTACTGCTCTGCTTCCTATTGACTTCTTGACAGATTTGCCCTATTTTGCTAGGCTATTTGCTACTGAAGCAGTTCAGTGTCTCCACCCAATAAAGGGACCGGTTCAGAGCGTGTTGTGTTAAAAAAGCTCCCAGTGTAAACAGGGCAGCAGCCACAAGAACCTTCTGTTTTCTAAAAACCGGTTTTTAATGCTCATCTTTGTAAAAGATCCGTTTTAGAAATTGTTTTTAAAATTATTTTATTGCTTATTACGTTCCCAACAGCACATCTTGTTTCACTGGTATTGGACCGGCTGTATTCTAATAAGTGTTAGCGTTTAGCATTACTAAAATTTATTATAGGTTTTTCTTAGCATTAACAGTTACTTAGCACTGGTATAAATAACCTTTTATAACCGTAATAAATTGCAACAAAATATAAACAAATTTGAAGATGCATGCTCTTGAAAGCAATACAAATTCTGGGATTTGTGTTTAGAATATGATCTTTCTGCTTGGAAAAATGTTGCATATTTTATTTCATTAGTCTCCCAGTTATTTCAGAATGCTTGATAGGAGCATTCAAGTAACTCTGGCACGTAGCAGTCTGACAGAATACGTCTATACTAACAATATATAACGGAAAGCCTAAGTAACATCAAGCTGTGGTTTTGTGCTTTGAAAGGAGCAAGTTAAGGAATTAATACTCCAGCTGCCCCTCTGAGGACTATATTGACTGAATGAGGATGATGTAAAACGGTGGTTTGTAGTTCAGGAAGATCAGTGAGTTTTAAAGTTGGTGGTTTCTAGATAACAGGTCCTGGTTGTTGGTAGGGGACCTGGTAGGGGGAAGGGGATTTTGTTTTTTAAAATAGTGGAGTTCTTTCCAAGGGGCCTCATCAGTTCTTCTGGTGACAGTTCAGTGCAGACAGTGAGCTGTCAGTGTCCTTCTTGGGTGTTGTGCAGTTGGGACATGTTTTGAAAGCCAGAATTTTCCTCACATCTAATGCTGTGGATTTTAAGAACAACGAATGAAACTTTTTGACCTCAAATAGTGTAATTTTTATCAAAAAAGAAGGCAGGTATTTTCATAAAGTGCAAGGAACGTGTCAGCCATTAAGTTGGTGTTGAGAGATGAAGATGTGCAGCATGTAAAGGAGAGGGACAAACAGGGTGATCTGTTGGAAACAAATCCAAAGGGATGTTGCCTTACTTTCGGAAGCCATGTAAGTGAACAAGTCAGAAAACGTCTGGCTCTCACTGACACTAACTTTGACACAAGATTAACACCGTGCAGTTTCTGATCATCTTTGTCCAGGCTTAACTTGCCAGAGTTGATCCATACGTTGTTGGATTTGTAAGGATTAAGGTGGAGAGGATGAAACTTAAGAATGATTTTGTCGTAGTACTGTTGACTAAGTATCTGCTGATGTCCTGATAATGCTCAGATTAGAATCTGATAGGATATGGTGTGAGGGATGAGCAGGTATTTCTATGCAGGAGTATGCAGGAGCTGGGGACAGGTATGATGACTCTGTAGGTCCTCACCGTGCCTGAGTGTTATGACTCCTGGTTTCAAAAGTGTGTTTTCATATCCTCCAATAAAACATAAAGCACGCTTGCCATGTCTTACGGTGTGTGTAAGTGCCAGCAGTGAAATACTATCTTACAAAACAAAAAGATAGCAGGACTGATGCACGGCTGCAGCAAAGCACCTGCATCTTAAGAAATCTTGGGCTCTAGCTGTGTTTTTCTTCCTCCCCACACAAAGTTGCAGTGCTGATTTTTTTTTTTTTTTTCTGCTGCTGTTCAGGGATTTGTTTGCATGTTGTCCATCCCAAAACTACATAATTAATTTGCCTTACAAGTTTGTGAAGATTGAGGTTTGCATAACAGCCTGAGCTTTTGACATCTGTGTTTTGAATATGTGTAACTGCACGTGAATTTTAGCGGTGGTGCTGAAGATTATGCTGTTATGATATCCAGGAAACATTGTTAAGGATTCTCTAAAGGGAGACTCAGTTGAAATGTGTAGCATTAGAAGTGCAGCTGAAGATGATGCTAAAGCCTGGAGGTAATCGTCTTTAAGATTAAAGGTGAAGATTAAAGAACCAGATCAGCCTTTTGAAGATATGAATGCAGGAGTAGGAGATTCCAGTTGATCTCTGTATTCCATCACCAAGATTTATCCTGGATTTTCTCTTCTGGTTTTAACGAGTCTGAATGAATTCAGTTTAGAAAGGAGTTCAGTTCTGCGTGTCTGTAAAGCATAATCTTTTTTAGCCCATTTGTTTCCTTTAGTAACTTCAGGTGGACTCAATTAATAAACCCAGGATGACATAGTGGCATAGTTTTGGTAGTATATTCTATGGCATACTTTGTTTATAGCTTTTTCTGGAATGTGGTGATGAGCATTTAGTAGTGAAGCAATTACCCCTGTGTAAATCTGTGTCTGAATTTTTGTAGATTTCTATGTACAAGAAAATAGCAGTAGTGTTTATGTAGTGTTTTCCGTCTTAAGAATGACTGTTTCAGAGGTGTATTGTAAAACAGATCCAACTTGCTTTTTGTAGCAGTATTTTTATGTTATTTGTGTCCATGCTTACAAGTTGGGAGATGCTGATAGTAATTAACTGAAGAAAAGGTGTAAATACACATCCAACCTGGCCTTGAACACCTCCAGGGATGGACAGGGCATCCACAGCCTCTCTGGGCAGCTGTTCCAGCACCTCACCACTCTCATAGTAAAGAACTTCCCCCTGACATCCAACCTCAATCTTCCCTCCCTCAACTTCAAGCCATTTCCCCTCGTCCTGCAGTTATCAACCCTTTCCAAGAGTTGATAGCACCTGGTGTTCAGGTCTTTGGTTCCTGCAGGATGCTTGGTGTGCAGCTCTTACCCACTGCACCCAGGGCTCCTCAGGAACTCTTCAGGAATGCTCTGTGTGCAGGATGTGCCACTGGGGTCGGCCTCTGCTCCTAGGTAATCAGTGATTGATAGGATGAGAGGTGATGGCCTTATGTTGCACCAGGGGAGGTTCAGGTTGGATATTAGGAAAAACTGCCCTTCAGAAGGAGTGGTAAAGTGGTGTAATGGGCTGCACAGGGAGCAGTGGGGTCCCCATCCCTGGAGGTGTTTGAGAAACACGGAGATGTGGCACGGAGGGATGTGGGCAGATGGTGGGAGCGGGCTGGTGGTTGGACTGGATCGTGGAGGTCTTTTCAACCTTAAGGATTCGATGATTCTGTGATCACCTTGTGAAAAACTGGTGAGCAGAGCTGTCCTGAGGGGTGATCATAGCAACTGCAGCATCAGCTGTGCTGTGGATAAGATGACTTCTCTTGTAGACAGCACTTGTCTTTAAAGAAGTAAAGAATCTATTTCTCTTTTGCTAGTATTTGGCTGCATTTCCTACAGTATTCAGCTCATTTCTGTTCTAGAGGAGGTTACTCCTCTTTCTGCATTTGATTCCCAAATGTAACCCTTTGCCCGTGCATTTATTGAATGTTGTTTTATTGCTATCTGGGCACTTTTGCACTTTCTCAGGATCATGCTCAGTTGTCATAGTGTTGTTTGAAGTGTTTTTTTTGTTCCCCCCCAGTTTTTGCCGATGGCAGCTCTGGTATTCCATTGTCTAAATCATTAATGACTGTGTTGAATAAAAGCAGACCCAGCAGACACATGGCCCTGCAGGAGCCTCCAGTGAGAAGCTGGTAGTTTGGTTGAGTGCAGCATTCCAGCTAGCTGCACGCTCATCTTACAGTAATATTATTGAACAATGCAATAATGTCATTAAATAACAGAAGCTGCATTGTGTAGCTGCATCAAGTATCTGTTAAAGTTCACATTGGCCATCTCTGAGCAATTCTCTAGGCCTTTTGCAGGGCGTTGTGGGTGTGTTGCACTGATTCTGTGTTGCTTTCCTTGGAAAAATCACAATGGCTGTTGGTTACACTCTCTTGTATGTGGCTAATAACATGGTATGTGATGAGGTATTGAAAAAGAATGACTCATCTGCATTTTCTCAGACCCTTAAAACTTTTGGAAGGAAAAAGGGATTGATTTCCTCTCTGAAGCAGAGATAAACCAGAGAAAAATCTGGTAGTATGTGAGAACACAAGACAAACACTCATTAATATCCCTTTGTTGACAGATTTCAGCTATCTGTAAATAAGTTTAAAGTAATTTAGTGTGTGTTAATATGATGTGTTTTGTATTCCACATTGTTCTAAAAGTTAGAAACCTCATTCTAATTCTGTGCCTCATGGTAGTGAAATAACACTGTGCAGCTTTTTAGTTTAGACATTGGTTAATGCAGCTAGTCTGAATTCTGTTATTCATAATTGTCTGCACAATCAGGAATAATTACTAATGTCTGCAGTGTGTGCTGGAATATTTACATTACAGCCCTGTTCTGCTTTCTGTATTCCACAGGGATGGGGCTGCTTATAGAGAAGTGCAAATCTGTGACTGTCAATCACTGTAACTTATATTCCTTCTCTTGTAGCTGCGATGGATGCTCCAAGTTACATTCTGCATTATTAGATGTGTTTAAAGGTTAATTTTCATTGTGTTTATTTCTTTTTATTTCTTGCAGCAATCCGAAGTCCACTAATCGGAATGTAAACAAGAGAGTCAACAATGATGAATCATTAAGGATTCAGAACTTGTCTATTTTGGTGAAGAAAATCAAATATTTCTACCAGGTCAGTAATTGTTTCTTACAATACCTTCTGCCCGTAGTTCTTTCTGAGCATTTTTTTTCATTATCTTTAAAAGTAATAACAGTAAGAGTAATATTTTGTGAAAACAGTGTAATTAGTCTGTTGTTTATAAATCTGGTCAGAATTCTTCATCACCACTTTCACAGCTGGAGGAGGAGTCCAAAAGCACTCGTTTGTGAAAGATGTTCTGTTTCATACAGTGAATATCCTGCATCTTTGCTCACTTAGTACCTTAATCTGTGTCTTTCTGAATTGAGACAAGTTCTGTGCCTGAGATAAATGGCTGTATGTACATTTAGTTGACTAAACAACAGTGCATCTGTGTGTTTAGAATTCATTTGATTTTTATTAGGAAAAATAAAAACCTAATAGGGAAGAGCAGTAAACATTGTGATGAGCTGTAGAACAGTTACTGAATTTTTGTGTGTTCATCTTGTGCAGAAGGTAAGAGTTAATACTACGCTTTCTAATTTGAGTTGGTGGCACATGGACAGACTGTAGCAGGATGCTGTGGATACCACCAGCATACTTCACAGTGTGTATTTTAGTGTCTCCTCCCACTTCCTCGGAATGCTCTGGCAAGCAGGAAAGCCCAGATGTGGGAGGAAATCTCAGTTATCTGCTCTAACTTCATCACTGTGGTATCTGTACTTCTGTAAGCTTTTTCTCATGTGTACACATACACACTTTGTCCTTAAAAACTCCAAAATACAGTGAGAATTCCCAGCTGATGCTTACTGCAGTGATACATGGCAGCTACTACATGTGGGTGTAAGTGCTGCTGGCTTATACTCAGGCATTTCCATTTCCTGATGGTAGTTGTTTGCAGACAGGTATTAGTGCTACAGGTAACAGGTGCAACACCAGTGACAGAAATGATCTTTACCTGAAAATAAAGCAATCCTTGTGCTTCTTGTGCGTGGTACTGTTCCACTAGAAGCGTGAGGCCAAACTGCTTCCATTTCACTGATCTGTTTCAGTGTGATTCAGGATTTTGGATGTTGATCCAAGCCTTTGTCTTAGAAATAACATACAAAAGCTGGGTTTTTTTTTTTTGTTTGTTTGTTTGTTTTTTTGTCTTATTTTTCTTCAATAAATGTTTGATTCAGTCGCCATGTCTTTAATGGTTCAACTCCTGCTCTCGAAGTGCAAGCTGTATAGAACTGCTTGTGCCTTTTTTTCCCCTTTTGCGTGCCAGTCTTTCACATTTCTGGTCTTGTGAGATACCAGTCCCTCCGTATAGTACAAGTGAGGGAACTTGCAAACATCAAAGGTCTGGCATTTCAGTAGGGGCTAAAAGTATTTAGTAGCCAAACTGGAGCATTTGTTCAAATTTACACTTGCTTTACTCTTTGTGCTTGGTTGGTTTGGAGGGAAATGTTAGAAGATGGGTTGTAGATACACAACCATTGATCATTTGTATTCATCTACTTCCTAATTTGATGCTGCAGCTTGAAAATCTTGCAATGACCCTGTATGCACTTCCCCCCTGGCAGGATCCTGAGGCACTCATCAGACGGATCTTTGAATGTTACGCTCAGCAGTGTGGCTTCCAGCAGTCTGCCAGCCTTACCTGCCTCCTTTGTGGTCATTCTCTGATTTGCCACCTTTGCTGGCCTTTATGGTAGTCTGTCTTTCCTATTTCCCAGTCTCTGTTCCTTGGAAGGATCGACTGCCCAGATCCTTTCTTCTTAATGTAGAGCATGTTTCTCAGAAACAGGTTATTTTTGTGTGGAGTTTGTTTGCTAATTTCTTAAAGAAGGGGGAATTTGGCAAGGTGGTGCAATAAGAGGCAGCAAGAAGGATGGCACTCTGCTGGGTACCAACAAATTTCCTTCCTGTCTGTTCCAGCTCTGAATAGCCTGCTCAGGATTTCATTCCTGCAGAGATGTTTGGTAATGGTCACATACTGCACTTCCTCCTTTATGCTTCTGAGTAGACGTGTGTCACATCCCAGGCAATGGCTTGAGCATTAAGCTAGTGGGTAAATGCTGCTTCCCTTTCCTCTTAGGTACTGACATATGCTCATGCACAACTTGTGGGAAGGTGATGGACAAGTTTGCTAGCCCTGTGACCTCAGTATAGGTCACACTTGTTGAGGGTGTCCAAGTAGAAGGGTAGCAGGCTGCTGTGCAGTACATGTGGTGCAGATGAAAGGGCAGAAAGGAGCAATGAAGGAAAACAAGCTAAATGGACTGCTGGGCATTTTTAAGCACAGGATTATCTATGCAGTGTGAGTGCTGGTGCAGCAGTCCTCAGGTGTGGGATGTCAGAGCAGTGTGAATGTGACCATATAGCTCCACTAAACCACAGCACGATGAGATAAGCAGGTAAGCTTCTGTTTGCAGTGTAGGATGTTGTCACTGCAGTTGTAGGGTTAGGCCTTTGGTCCTTATTAAATGGTAGTATTTTATTATAATATTATTTTGCCTGTGGACTGCCACATTGAGTAAGCAGTGAGTTGGAATTGATTTGTACATAAATTAAGGCATAAAGTATTGAAGTGTACAAGTGTATGTTGCAAATGTCCCTGCTTTAAACTGTATCTGCGTTAAAAATTCAGAAAAAAATCAAAAATATCTGCCTCAAAAAAATAGAAAAGTTTCTTACTGTTATGTACGTGCTTTTGTATATTCAGACTTGTTCTGTGTTTTGACAGCCAGTTTGATATCACTAGTATTGCCAAAGCCAGGTTGATTTTGACTTTCAGTCCTTCTGATAAAAAATATATCTGCGTTTGCACTTGCAAACACAGCCTTTCACAGGAGGGAGTTCATTTTATATGATTTGGAAAGTAATGCATATTTCAGTACCCTATGTATTTCTATCTATTCTTTCCAGCTGAAACATACAGATTTCTGTTTCTGTCCCAAATTCTTGTTTTTCATCACTGTATCTTTAATAAGATAGCCTGGTGACAATATTCACTGAGGATTTTTTCATTATGTACTGGAAAGCCACATGGTACAAAGGGTTGTTAATGATGGTTGATGTTTTTTCTGAATTAAAAATACCACCTGAGTTAAAAAAAATATATATATATTTTTTTTTAAATCCCTTTTTCCAGTTTACTTCTATTGCTTGAAGTTTCTGTTCAGTGTAGCATTTGGACCTAGACTAGTAGTGCTTTTATTTACCTGTGCACAGAATGGGGGCAGTGGTGGTCAGGAGAACCTTCCAAGTTATCTCCCTCCCTTTGTTAGTATCATCTTCTGTTCCTGCTCAAACAACAAGCAGTTCCTTTTAAGTGTGTGTAAATTGAATGTGAACAAATGATTTGATTTATACAAAACTGAAACAAAGATTAGATCATAAAACAATGCAGTCCGTTAAGATATCTGGGTTACAGCTTTCCAGTCTGGCTGCCCAGGTATCACAGGGCTGTGGGCTGCAGCAGGCAACACAGTATCTCAAACTCCATCTGCATGTATCCACACAGATCACTTGTAAAGCCTCCTGCATCCGAGGTCATGAGGATAATTCCAGAAAGAGGGTTGTTTAATGCCAGGATTTGTTTGGGATTTGAAGCCTGTTGGTTTTGTTCCCTCTCAAACCTAGTGCAGCCTAACAGCTGGTGTTTTCCTGCAGCCTTGTGTGTGGGTTAGCAAGGCAGCATAGCAAACTCAGCTTCAAAAAGGGGAGGGTGCTGCAGTTCCTGTCACCTGGGGAATTACCCAAAGCAGAGAAGCAAGTGCTTAATGGATGCACTGGTATTGAGCCTTGGGGGCTTCTCATCTGAGTGGCTCAGGCAGCCCTCTGAACAGGCGTCGTGTTTGGTGTGTTCTGAATGGGATGGAGTTGGGAGTACTGGAAAATATTCACTGTATTGCCATACAATAATGTGTGTTACCTGGGAATAAGATATGGATTTTTATTTATTTTTTTTAATTGTTAGCTTTAGTTTATTTTAACTCCAAGAACTGTTTGTTGTGAAATTGTCTGTTAGTTTATTGCACATGGGTTTTATAGAATTTATGAGAAGCATTCTCTCAACACAGCAGATAATTGCATTGAGGTGTTGCTAATGTATTTGTCCAAAAAGCAGCACTGATAAAATATAACATTCAAAAAAACCCCACATTTATTAGATTATAATTAGGACTCTTAGTTCCTGTGCCATTTAGTTAGATTTATTGGTTTTGTGCCTCTTTTCTGTGCCATTTTAGTTAGATTACAAGTGCATCTTCTCATTTGTTTTACTGTGGAAAAACAAAAAGCATGACTCCAGAGCTGCTGATATGATTGCATCTGTGAATAAACATCTGGGAATACGAGGAAGACTACTCTGCTTGGGAAGAATTAGGCTCTGTCTAGACTGGGGATTTGACCTGATTACAGCCATTACTGGCTGACAGTAACTATCCATTGATACAATCTGTGGAATAGATAGGCAAAGCTGCTGCGTGAGTGTGGGACTTACCAAACTAAAACTCTGTTTGATCAGACAAATAGGATTTTCTGCCTTCATATTCAGGATTGCCACAGCATAAATGCATTGGAAAAGCGGTGACTTCTAGGTTTTATTTAGGTATTTAGGTTTTAAGACTATGGTCATAAATTCAGGGAAGTTCATCTTCCGTTGTTCAATTGAAACTTTGAGCAAACAAACATAAGCTAGTCAGAGAAACAAACAGTAATAATTACAAGGAATTTTGCTGCATTCTGAGGCACAAAACCAATAAACCACCTCCTTACCACATGGGGATTTCACTGTGTTGAGGTGATCTTGCAAACCAACAAAACAAGGCTTGTGCAGCAGAAATTCAGTTGTAAGCTTTCTGTTTAGAGTGCAAATAAGTATTGTATGTGTATGTATTAAGATGTATATAATTCAGAACTACTTGTGGAATACTAATTTCATCTTAGTGCTGGTCAGCATTTGATACTTTTGTTCAGTACATCAACTTTGAAAATATTTTCACTTTTATAGGAATGTTTGCAGCAGCTGATCATGATGGCTTTGCCAAATGTCTTAATAATCGGCAGAAATCCTCTCTCAGGTAAGTTTATTTTTAACAAAGATGAAAATTGATATCGGTGTAACTTGTTATTTCACTGGAAATATTGTTCACGTATAAATAGCTGCTGTTAGCAGCTGTTTTACTGAGTAACACTTTTTGTTCACACCAAGGGTCCATACTTGACAAAAATTCCAAACCTCAACACTGAATTCACACAGACGTGCATTTTCCAGCAACCAGTGAGCCACTGATATGACAAAATATACGTTTCATGTATTCCCAGCTGGTATGTTTTCAGCTGCCTTTACCTAAGCCATCCTTGAGAATACTGGTGGTTTGGTGCATCTCACTTGGTCCAAAACCTAATCCTTGTTTGTTTTTTTTTTTCTTCCCCCAAACTCTCTTGCATCGTTGCCTGAAAAATGTTGCAGTTACCTTCTTTCTTTCTCCCCTGAACTGACGCTGTCTTCTCCGTGCTCCCACCTTCTTTGCTTCCAGCTCTGAGAGTTGAAATTTTCAGACCGAGAAAATTAGCCTGTATGGACCCAGCTGACTATCCACAGCTACTTGGGAATCTCTGCACCATGCTCTCAATACCAGAAGCACGGAGCAGATACACCTGGCCTGCATGGAGCCACTTATGGATTGGGCAGAATTAATTTCCTTGGGTCTAATGTGTCCCAATACCTGTGATGTTCTAGCACCTCAGCAGAGAGGTTAGGAACTACTCTAAACAGGCTGTGTAGCTTCCCCTGGCTTTTTTTCCTCTTTTTTTTTTTTTGGTCTTACATGCCATGCATCAGTGTGTGTGAGACAAGGTTTTTCTCGTTAGCAAGAAGAGCCATCTGCGTTAGCTCTCATTTCAACTCCAGGGTTCATAACTCCGATACTTTCCATATCCCATCTGCGTATACACCATTTATGTAGATATCTTGATTTAATTTTCTTGAGTTTTACGTTTGGCTCTTGATGATTGCTGCTTTTGCTTCTGAGGTCATGGCATTTTAAGTTTTTCTATGTGTAGGTACTATAATCTGTCACATGCACTGTTAAGTGTGAACGTGGTCACTGTTGTTCCAACGTTTTGCTTTTATACTTTGATTCCAGACATTCCTAAGGTTTTTAAAATCCATGGATTTGCCTAAAAATGAGATTTAGTGGAGAAGCAGATTTAAAAAAAACCAAGCAGGTCGTAATGTTGTTTTTGTAATGATGGTTTTTTATTCTCTTTAAGATAGTGAGACAGAGTACATCTTAAGGGCTTAAGGTTATGTACTGTGGTAGAAAATTCCAATAAAAATGCACTATGAAAAACCACAGAGAAAATGTAGTATTTGAATATGTACACAGAAGCCTATGCTTTAGTGCTTAATAAGGAAGCTTCTTCCTATTGTGGGACCTCAGCTTTTGTGGTTTGGCATCTGGACCCTCTGGTAATACATGTATTGCTCTCTTCTGGAGAAGTTATTGTATCTGAGAGAAAATACAGACTTTACTGTAGCTTAGCCCAGGGATTAAAATACATTCTGGTATACAGACGAGATTCTTGAAGATGTTTCAGGTTCCTGCTGCAGGCCTGTATCTGAAATTGTTTTCCTCCAAAAAGTTTCTCCATTTCATGCCCTTTTAAATACTGCTCTTAAGGTTCTCTTGAAGAGGACCTCATCCCATATATAAGGAGCTGAAAGCCTTTTTCTTGGTGGAGGAGGAGTGTGGGGGAGGGTAGTGTAGCAAAATCAAACCTCTGCGACCTTTAGAGAGACTTGCTTTGTAAATTTGATTGCATGAGGGCAATCTTGCACAGCAAAAGCAGATTCTCCAATAGTGAGTAGGATTTCACCCTGTAAGGCTTAGGCTGCAGCTGTGGTTTCTCTTTGGAATGTATCCCAGTTTTTCCCACTTGCAGTGCTTTGCACATAAGAAGTGGTTGATAAGTAGAGAAATTCCTGAAGATGATGATTTGAAGAAGGTGAGAGCAGATGAGATTTCAGGAAAAGAACATGTTTGGCTGCAGCAGAAGCAGTTGGTTAATAAAGGAAAATGCAGGTAGAATTCTGGATTTGGTCTTTGGTTTAAAAGAGATCATCAGAGACTTCATCATAAAGAAACATTTTGGTTATGCTAATTGACAGGAGGCCAGTTTGAGGATAAACCTCAATGCAAAGAGCTGCAGGCTGTGGTTGTGAATGTTGAATTGAAGAGGAAAAGGATGAAGGAGATGATGAAGAGGCGAATATTCTTTAAATGGGGGAAGAGGAAAGATTAAAATCACTTAATATTTCTGAGGTAGCAAGCTAGGGGATGGTGGGATGATGGAAGGCTACAGAGAATGTGAAAATTGAGGGTAAGAGGGAGCCCAGGGAAGATTAGTGGATGGGATAAGGGACCAAGTTTGAGAAGCACATTGAAGGGTTTAGTACAGAGGCTTCAGTGATCTACTTCTGTATCTGTGATGGAGTGAAAGGAGCAAAAACAGACAGGACAGTCGGTAGTAGTGAGAAGCTAAGGTTGTTCAGTATTTTGCCATGTTCCATCAGGGAATGTAGGGAAAAGGCATGAGAACAATCTCCAGGTAGGTTTTTAGGAGCATCAGTCAAATGCTGAACCAGTGTGCAGATGAGAGCTCCAGAGGATTTCGGGGATTGTTGTTAGAGAAGTCTGATGAGTTTATTGGAGTAAGTGAATTTCCAGTGTGAGACAGTGGAGTGGGTTACAACATTCTGTTTAATTTGTGTCGGTTCAAATAGACACCCAGGTGGAATTGTTCTTCTCTAGCTGAGGTGACATGCTCCTCATGAAATGTATTCACTGATGTTCTCTGTTACTGCGTAAGAGACTGCAGCTCGAGTTTTTGGGATGCAAGAAATCTCTGCAGTGAAGAACAATCTCCCACTTGAGTTTGTGTTTTGAAAAGTTTGAGTGTTACCTGTCAGTGGGGGCTGTACTTCTCTCCCTGTCAGAGAAGCAGGTTGAATCAGTGTTGAAAAAGGCACTCTACTCAATACTGCAGTGCACAGAAAAGTGCTGGCAGTGGCTCTCTTCCCGGTTTTGCACCTTTGTTTTTTTCTGCTTTCTTTTCTTTTGCTCAAGATTACCTTGTTTAGTTTTTTAAGGATTTTAAACTTGATTCACTTATCAAATACTTCAGTGGATAAAAACAAAGGCTGATTTTTCAAGCAGTTGTAATTGAGTGATTACATCTTTGTTTTATGGGAGTTTATCCAAAGTAGATCAAAGTAGTTGTCCAATATAAAGGAAGTGTGTGGTCTGTGCTATTCAAAAAGATGATTCTGGTTTTCCATTAGATGCTTATCATCATCTCAAGATCATCAGAGGTCATCTGTGATTACTAACTGAATCCATTAGAAGTGAAATTTTGGTGCAGGTTAAAGAAGGGTTGTGCATATCATACCACAACCTGCACTTTGCCTGTAGTGTTCCTTATTTGGCCTAGGGGTGAACATGCTGCTGCTGGTGGTAGTTATACCAGCTCACCTATAGAACTTGGGTTTGTGGAACAAGGGTTAGATTTCTATCCCAAGCCTGCATTATTATGTTTGACAGCATAGTTTTTGTCTGGTTAGCTAATAACAAAATAAACTCATTGCTGAAATCCTGAGTATGTTTTACAGAGGATGCTATTGAGATTCTTTTGTTCCCAAAACTGGGAATGAAATAGGAAGTACTTTTTCAGTAAAGCAAAGTGATGTATGGCCATGCAGAGGTTAATCCAGCTAGACTAAACTATTTTGCCATCCTGAAGTGTTCACTCTGTGGCATGATGTGGTGTATTTAGTAGCAGGACCAGGAAATTCTGGCTGTATGAAGGAAGATATATCTTTACTGAGCTGTAAAGAGGGATCTTAAGCTTTTTTTTTCAATTTTTTTAAAAGAAATTAAGATGCTTAAGGCCAGATTTGGAAATACAGTTTGGTTTCTAGATGTGGAGATGAATATCTAATGTGCTGCCTAATTATTTCATAAAGCTTTATTTAATTTGCCTCTTAATTGTTGATAGCCTAGGGGTGACAGACGATTTGAACGCTTCTGCAAGCATGCTGAGATAGCTGAGAATCCAGCTGAAAACTTGGTCATGTCCAAAACACTTGAAAACATCACTTCAGTTTTGCTGTGTGAAGGCCTGAAACTCTGCTTTTTCTATCATGCATGTTAAGCTATTTGTAAGCATTAAGTTGGCAGTTAAATGGCAAAAAGGGCAAAGTTGAAAGCTGGAAAGAAGGGGTTTTCTTTGCCTTTGTTTTCTAAGTTGGGATAATGCAAATTATAAGACAATAGTGAGAAAAGCTAATGTTCTCTGAGCTTCGGTTCACCATTTTTTTCTTTCTTTCTACTTAGAGCCAAGTACTAATGAAATACATAAAATACTCCTGCTTATGCTTGGTTGTGCTGTTCAGGTAAGCTTAAATAATGTTTGTTTGTATGGAATAGTTTGTTGTCAAACTATAGGACATTTTCTTGTCCTACTACTTCAATACATGAAGTTGTATGTAACTGTAACCTTCATTTTTCTGATGATGGTGTTGCTCTCCTTGACAATCAGGATGTTGACAGTTCAAGTGGCTACAGCTCTGCATCTCCTATGTCTTATTGCATATGGCAAACTTTGTAAGGTTTCTAATGGTTCATTAATTGTAACTGTACTCACCTTAGATACTGTAAAGAAAGAAAGGAAATGATAAAGTAATGAAGAGTTGCCTTAGTTATATCTTGCTGAAATGGCTTGCATTCAGTCTGCCTACTCTGCTTAATTTTCATTAATTTGTAAACTAAGCAGGGTGAAATGAGTGAAGGAAGTCGCGCTACTCAGACGTGTCGTGTCCAGCAAGGATGTGTAAATCTTTCTAGCACTGTCTCCCTTTGCACAGTTTTGCTGTCAGAGTTGTTACAGGTTGTAACTGCGCGACCTTTACCTTCTAGGCTGTTCTAACCTAAACTTTGAAGATTTGCTTTTCCACGAGGGATGTGTTTGGTAGGCTTGGCAGTGAGTAGGCTACAAGGCAGATCAGATGTACGCTCGTATCAAGGTGTCTCCTGGGAGCTCTTGGTTCATGGGCAAGGTTAGGTCCCTCACTAAGAGAACAGCTGCTTTGTGCATTGAGCTGGCGACAGCACGAGTGAGAATAGTGCAGGACAGATGACAGGGTGGAAGTATTTCTAAGATACCCTGCTCCTGTGGTCACGTATTCAATAGATTCTTCTAATGGACTGCAGTTCATTAAGGAGGCTTGCACCGTTCAGCTAATTAAACTGAAAAAATAGATTAATCGTGTATTTTTAACAACGTAGGTAAGCGATGTGAGTATTAAAAAGAGGACACTGAGGAAGTGCTTGTGGAACTTTGAACAAATAGCTGCTTTAAGAAACTTCTTCCTTGCCCCCATTGCAGTAGCTGCTCTTTTTCTTTATCATTTTATTAATGTTGAAAGTTATTGTAATTATTACAGCATATATTATATATATTATAGCATAAATCAAGTACTTACTGATCAAGGAAATTATTGCATAATAATTTAGTGATTACTGAAATTTCAGCTTTGTTACTCTTCATTCTTAAAAATACAAAGGAGGAATGGAAATACTTGTGATTTTATATATAGATGTGCTTTAATGTATATAATGCATATATATATTTTAGTGTCAGAAAAAGGAAGAATTCATTGAAAGAATCCAACATCTGGATTTTGACACAAAAGCAGCTGTTGCAGCCCATATTCAAGAGGTATGTTGTTGTTTTTATGCTTTTCATTTTCTGGAGGTGGATTATTTTGTAAGAGCTTTTATGTTTGTTCAAAAGCAGGAAAATCAAATGGAAAGTTTGTCTATCTACTCTTTTTAGGGAGCAAAAAATGTCTTTATATTTTAGCTTAATTCAGAAAAAGATTTTGCCATCAAATTCCTTACACTGTGAGAGCAGTGCTTAGAAGCAAGTATGTTGCTCCAAGAAATTCTTAGATGTATTGCAAACTGAGCTTAATGAGAATGTCACATACAAATTTCTAAATAAAAGATGAATCTCCTATGCTGCAGTATGTCATAGACACTTTTTGCTTCTTATTTTGCCAGAAATGCAAGTTAAGGTAGGTAGGAAGCCATTCCATTGCATACAACTTAATGTATATTAAGCATTCATGTCTTTTTAATGTCCTGTGACAACTCAGCCCATGTAGTTTCAGCATTGTTTTATTTATGCTTCTTTATTTACTGGCATAATTTAAAGGGCGTGCCTTTTTTCTCTTCTGTTTCATTCTTTGTAGGTAACTCAGAACCAGGAGAACGTGTTTGATCTGCAGTGGACGGATGTCATTGTATTTACACAAGACTCTGTTGAACCTCTTCTGAGAAATATGGCATCACATTTGAGAAGACTTGTAGATGAAAGAGATGAGCACTTAGAGGTACAGATGTGCTTTATTGCTTAAGCGAAACATGAGAAATGATTTTTGCAAATGGAGATGGTTACTGTTTTTAGAACACTTCAATGTAGGTTCAGTTGGTGTACAAAAGCAAGGACTCCTTACTGCCAAAATGTTGCTTCGAGTGGTTACAACGTGCGTACTTTCTGTTGAATACTGGGACAAAGCTGAGGGGAAAGTAGCAGCTGATCTTTATCATATGGGCAGTTTACATGGATGTTGGAGCTCTTTTACAGCCATAAGCAGAAAAAAAAAAGAGCTGCATCTGTAAAGTCTCCAGGAATCAGTAACCCATGAGTGTACATGGCAGTCACTGAAAGGTGTCTGTTGCATTCATGTATCATATGGTTTTGAGTGAATTGGAGCAGAACCCAGGAGCAGAGTTCTTATAGGCTTATGAAGCACTGCTTGCACAGTGTGAGAATGAGAAATAGATGCGTATTAAAAAACAATGCAAGTTATGAATCATCTTAAGGATACCAGATTTGCCCCTCAGTAGCATGGGAATGTAATGATGTTGCAATTGTTCCTGTGAATGTCACCAACTGTGTCCCATTCACAGCTTTGGTAAGTGTAAAGGAGCAGTTTGAGGGGAGACTGTATGTGGTGATCATTTTTTTGGAAAGCAAGGAAGAAGTAGCTTTACTGTGGAAGAGATCTTCCTCTTGAAATAACACTTTTTTTTTTAACAGTCAAAAGGGAATGCTCCCATAGCTCTTATTCATTGTTTATGCAGCTGGCAGGGATGCCACTGCTTAATAAAGAGCACCACTTTCTTTACAGGCTTATTTTTATCCTCATTTTGGAGGAATTCATGAGGAATTATCCTGTCCATTTTGGGCACTGTTATTTTGGTGGACCTAAATCTAAATTTGAGTAGTTTTACAATAGCCAATCAATACTGTTAAATAACTGTGACTATTCATAACTTGCTTTAGGTATAGAGGTGTGCAAAGGGCTTAACTTTTTTTTCCTATACTTTATTTCTTAGACTATCATAGAACTCTCAGAAGAACGGGACTCTCTCCAATTGCAACCTCAGACATTAGTAGCACAATCACCTTGTGGATCTCCTTGCTTGAAAGACACTGAAAGCAAACAGCACCTGACAGTTGAGCTAGCAGATGCCAAAGCAAAGATAAGAAGGCTTAGGCAAGAGATGTGAGTACCTGTAGGCTGCAGTTACGTGCTGAAAGTTGTTCATTTTTAATCATTTTTGATGTCACATGATAGTAGCACTCTGTGTGCAAATTCTTTCTTTCAAATGTTAGAATGCAGTTTTAAATGCCTTTTTTAAGCTATTGTACCCCAGGGAGCATATTTCTAGCACATAAACATATTTGTGCACAACCAGGACAAACACAGCTTTTCAGCTGTGTGTGTCTTAACATTGCACAGCTTATCTAACATTGCATTGCTTTTTTCTTTTACATGTTGTGTCTGTAGTATAGTTTCTGAGGCAACTTCTTTATGCTTCCTCTGTTGTTCTTGAGCAATAAACTGTGCCTGAGTGTGGCTTTAACGTATGTGTGTTCATGCATGTTTTTGAGAGAGTAATCTGACGTGCTTAAAATTGCCTCAGCTGCAGTTGCGTGGGGAGGACATTTAGGATCTGGAAGTAAGAGCTGTGTCCTTGATTACTGGAGGATTAGTGGCAAAACATGGCATTTAAAAGGAGATAGGGAATCACTGCAGTGCTATCTGTAGCATAATTAACTCATTCTTTTTAGAAATACAGTAAGAAATGGTCATCTGTGATTCGTTGGAGATGGGAAGAAAACATTCATTAGAATTTCTTTCTGCGTGTTTGTCTGTACAACATTTGTTTGCTCATGCTTCTTAAAACTGTTCCTTACAACTTGTCTGCAATGCCAGACTGTAGAGGAAATAAAGCAAACCAAATTCCAGTAAGTCTCTTGACCTGTTGGGTCAGTTCACTGGCAGGAGGTGGTTATTTATGGCTATGAAAGATGTAATTTGTGATGTGAGTAAAAATACAGATTGGGTCAATAAAGATTCTTAGTTTCCAAGTTGTTACCTTCATCTAGGTGGGGAGTGCTGCCTTCTCCCCCTGGTGGTGATCCTGGAGCTGCAGGGTATTTCCCCCTTCCTTCACCTGGTCCAAGTGATGTTAAAAAATAAAAATAAAAATCAATCCAACTGCAGCAAAGATCTGCGGTTTTTTTTTCATGAAAGACAACTGTTTTAGTACTTATCAAGAGATAACTACTGTCCTTAGAGTCTGGGAACAAATCTGAGTTGTAGTCAGGTTACCTAAGGAGAAAAATAGCAGGCCAGGGGGAGTATGTGATTCCGTACAGCAGTGTGTTGTTGTGGAATGAAATATGTGCAGTTTGAACGTAAAATTGCAGATGTTAAATTTGTAGAGACTTAATACGTGTAGTAAGTAATTTGCATCTCATGGAAACGGCGTAATTAGAGATTTTTAATCTTGCACATCAAGTGGAGAGAGGAGACAGGTAAAATTAAATAGAGTTGAAAGTAACATAAGTCAAAATTACAGCTCACTGGTCTGCTTTTATCAGAGTTTGTTGATCAGATTATCTCTAGCTGGCTGGCTTAAGTATCTAGTTGATTTACGCAGAGAAAGCCCTTCCCCCACCACATCTCAGCTTTCGTGAAGAATAGAGGACAAAAAGATGTGCCTTTTTTTTTCCCCTTCTGATGCCTGTATTATTATGTGCCTGGTGAAACGAGCCCGCCCAGGATATTCTATAAACAGCTGCACCAAGAAAATTAGTGAAAAAATTGCTGTTATTAGTTTGATTGACAGTTAATAGATAGCCTAAACAGTGAACACTGGTATGTTCTGTATAATTTAGTACAATCCTCTCTAGCCTGTAGCTGAAGCATGCAATTAGGACAGCAGCGATGGCTCAGAATATTTCACATTTTGCACTCCAGTTCCTCAATAAATTTCCTTTACAAGTAGCAGGACATTTAAAAGACTAGACTTGGATAAATTGACTTCTATCTATAGCATTTGTTATTAAATGCTGCTGATAAGCTTAAAACTGGATTCATTCCAGGATTGAAAATAGTAAGCTTTGAATTTATTTATAACCTGGTTTTGGCAGTGAACCTGGTTTAATATACACTGTAGCAAACAGAATTTCATGCAAGAGATCTGCTAAGCTTATTTTTCCCTGCAGTACCATATACCAACATTTGAATCCAAAGAGTGATTGGAGGCATGTGATCTAGAATCTCCAGACTTGAAAGCTGTACACCTGATTTTCCGTATTTCCATGTAGCACAATAATACCAGGAATATGAATGTTGATAGTGAAGTGACAGTAAGCTAACATAATGTGGAATGCATTTGTACTTCCGTCTGGATTCTGGACACTTATGTAGATGGGAAAGCTTTGATATCTGATGTTGCGGTGATATAAGATGAACCCCTGTCAAAGACCTTCTTGAAAGTGTGGTTGCAAAAAGGTCATGCACTGTGAGATTTACTTGTTTTTATAAGCAAGCATTATAGTTCTTATAGAAACAGAAGTGAGGATTAATTTCCAGTATTATTTTCAGACTGTACTGTACATTTGGTCTGTTCTCGTTTCCCACCTTATACTTCTGTTTCATATTTGAATTCCAAAATGCTCAATGATACAGGAACGCATTTGAACATGCAATATACCTTTAACTATGGGCAGTTTGGGAAATGGCACTTTTTTGGTTATTTTTTCAGTAGTGATCACTTGGTCTTGAGACAGAAATGAATATTGAACATTACATACTCTGTATCTCTGAGAAAATGAGATTTCTCTTTCAATTACTCATTGCTCAAAGAACTCATTTCTTGAGCACTGAAAATTAAGTGTTAGCTGGAAGTTAAGAATGAGTCCTATAAGAAGAGGAGTGTTCTAAATCAAATTGTTTTTGTTGTGAGCCTCTGAATAAACTAAAGCAAGAACTGCATTGTCTCCATAGAACTAAAAGTCATTATGCAGGAGGCTGCTTTCCATAATACCAGATTGTTTAAGTAGTAACTTTTTTAGTGAGTAATGGCATATGAGGCATATGAAAACCTCAATTCTTATTTGTACAAAAATGTGTACTATCTTTTCCCTTTTTTGTTTTTTAACAAAAATGCTTGTTGTGAAAATTATCCCCTCATCTTTCTGCCCTGCATGAGTAAGAGATCTCAGTGAACAAGGTTTTAACAACTATGAAAAGCCTGCCCAAATAAAAAAGGTTAAAAGCAGTCTAAGAGCTGGAGAATACCAGAAGCATAGTGGCATACTAAAGTTCTACACTCTGATGTGTTCATGAGATACTGGAGTCAATAACAGAAATATCAGTAAATCTTAGCATCTGCTTCTCAGGGTGATAACTATGAAGTTCTGCAGTCATCTTTAACTGTGTTTTGTGTTTTCTCTTTGAAGTGAGGAAAAGAATGAGCAATTTCTTGACTATAAACAAGAATTTGAAGAGGTGGAAAGTGAGTTAAGGAAGCTTCAGCAAGAGGTATGGGCTTTGTCAAGTTTAAGCTCCGCTCTGAACATGAATCGTTTGCTTCTTTGTTGGGTCTGCTGTGCTGGTAAAGCATTCTGCATTAGTTTACCATTTCTTCTCTGATGATTTTTTCACTTCAACGTTCAAGATATTTGCAACTAATATGTCCTGTGCTGAGGACTAAAGAGTAGCTGTGCTGAATTTCTGATATTGTTTTCTCCTCAAAAACAGCACATTCAAATTTTGACTGTTTTTCTTTAAACCTTGAATCTAGGTTGATAATGAAGGAAAGCATAAAAATCATTTGTTCTTAAAATCTGAGTTTATGTAATTATTGAGGAGCGCTTGATAATATTAGTGGTCAAGGAAATGTTCTGAAACTTAGAAAAGCTTGGAAAAGGCCAGCACAGTTCTCTTGGAAATCTGTTATGTTTGCTGCTCGTGTAGCTATGATAAATGTGTGAAGTAACAAAGCTTGTTTGTTTCTCCGTTTTTGGTACGTATTCTGAAACAGACATAAACTATGGAGAGTTTATGTAAAAAGTGCACACTGGACATCTGTTTTTTGCTATTGCCTCTATTGTGAATTGCCTTATTAAACACCAGCTAGAACTTCTTCAGCAATTTGATAAACAGTCTGCAGTTGCTTATTTTGGCAAATAAATATTGATTCAGGTCTCTAATTCAATGCTAGACATTAATTGCTCACAACCAGAGATTAGAATTTGTCCATCTAGGAGCATGAGATTTGAACACAGTCAGAAGTGGTCGTCTTCCTTTCAAAGCTAAGAACATTTGTGAAAGCATTCTGTGGCTGAATTCCTGAATTGTGTACAGATCAGAAATAACAAATGGCCTCACTGGGATACCAGTGAACATCAACTTGGTAGCATATTTGATGAATCAACGCGTAGGGAAAAAAATATTTGTGTCCTTTAATACTGTGTGCAATTTCTGCATTTTCTAGAATAAGAATTTACTCTCAGATGCCCGTGCTGCCAGAGCTTATAGAGATGAATTGGATATTCTTCGTGAGAAGGCAATTCGAGTTGACAAGCTCGAAAGTGAAGTCGGCCGGTACAAAGAGAGGCTGCGTGATATGGAATTCTACAAAGCTAGAATGGAGGTATGTTAACTTGAGAAAATACTGATTAGCCATCATTTTTTGTTTGCTGTCTTCTTTGGAAGTTGTTTTGATCACTTAAACATTGAGATGTGGAGCAATGTTGTTTTTTTTTTCTCTGGGATACATAGTAGTCAGTCTTGTATGGTAAAGCACAGCTCTTAGCGAGAGTCCCTGTGTCTAATTCCACGTTTTCATCGTGGCCTTAAGTTGTGCCAGGGGAGATTCAGGTTGGGCGTTAGGAACCTTTTCTTTCTCTGCAGGAGCAGTGAGGCATTGCAATGGGCTGCCCAGGGAGGTGGGGGGGTCACTGTCCTGGAGGTGCTCAAGAAATGTTCACGTGTTGTGGTGAGGGGCATGGTTTAGTGGGGAAACATTGGTGGTGGGTGAATGGTTAGACTGGAGGTCTTTATCTTGGAGGTCTTTTCCAACCATGGTTGATTCTATGATTTCAAGTCAGCAGTATTCACCATAGCTCCAAGCTCTCAAGACCAATAGGAAGGACTGTTTAGGATATACGTATTAGCTATTGAGAAACTCAAATGAGGAGCTGATTAACAGTATATTGAAGGTGTAGTAATTTAGTAATTTTTTTCTACTTTGTAAATCTCCAAAGAGAGGGTACTTTTCTAAGTAAAGCGTTGAAGAAATACTGGTGGCACAGTAAATAAATAAGATGACAAGATTCCATGGATAAAATGCACTGAAAAAGATTCACTGACACTGTGCTGGAGGCACCTACTTTTCTACCAAGAATTAGTTTAGAAATCAAATCATTGTAGCAAATTTCTAAGGCAAATAGAAAGTTGGCAGAATTTTTGAGTGAAATAATCACTTATGGGAGTCAAAGCTAATTAAAGTTTTAAGAAGATTTCAAGGTGGGCATTAAAAAACATAACTCTTAGGAAAGCAGAAAAAACTAAAATGGAAGTGAAGATCTGTTTATTTTGAAAAAGTAAAATTAGGATACTAGTTCAAAACCTCTCTTTAAAGTAAAAATGACCAAAAAGCCAACAAGATATGAGGCTAAACTACACAGTTGCACAGTGTCATTCCATGTTATTTCTTCATTGAATGTAGACTCTTAAAATCACAGAGCTGGATGGGAATCTCAGGATCACATTCAGCCCCACTGTAAACGTGCCGAGTATTTCTTACATTTCCATACCACTCCAAACAAAGCTTTGGTGTTCATCCATCTTTTAAGACCGGACTGGTAAAGTGTCCACAGCCTTTCATAGCAGTCTTTTGCTTCTTTGAAGTCTGTGACATATCACACATTCTGTCATAGTTCTTTGTGCTCCACAGCCCGACAGCATTCTGCCTTATAAGGTAATTTTTTCCATTCTCTGGGTTCTGTGCTCATTTATATCTTTGTTAGAATTAGATTCCTAAAACTAAACCTTGTCCTCATCCAGGAGGAATTTCATTTTCACGTGCATTTTAAGCTAATAAAAAATTAAAATTTGTTTACATGTTCTATGGCCTGCCATCACTCTGATTTATTTTCTCTCAGGCATACTTGGTTATGGACAGTTGTTAATTAGTTTGGTTTGCTCTGTAATAAGTTAACATTTCAGTAGGTAGGAGTTCAAAGATATTTATTATATTCGGTGATCTCTTTTTCAGGTATAGTTGGTCACTGCACACTTAAGTTTGAAAATTTTTGTGTGTCGCTCAGTTACGTGTAACTGCTGTAAATCTGTTTCTGAGGTTTGTTACAGCTCTCAAATGAATGTTCAGCATTAAAACATTTCTAAAGCTAGGCGTGATGAGTATCAAAGTTGTATTAATAGCACAGTAATTTTATCCTGTTTGTTTCTCTTGCCTTTGTAGGAGTTAATGGAAGACAACCAAGTGATGCTAGAAACAAAGAGAATGTTTGAGGATCAAATCAAGACATTGCAGCTCCGTTCTGATAAATTACACGTGGTAGAAAAAGAGAATCTCCAATTAAAAGCTAAACTACATGAAATGGAGTTGGTAAGTGTAAATGGATGACGAAGAAACCTACTAAAAATCTTAGAGTTCTATTTGTACTTTTAATAAAAGACCTTCCTGTCAGAACGGTGTGGGAGAAAAGGAAGGTATGTCTTGATTTACTGATCTTTTTCTGATGGGCTTTGCTACAGTAGTCTTGATTCTGCTTGGGGAAATAAAAATTGCAAAGAGCAATACTCTTCCAAAATGTTTAATCAGCTTAAGTTATGCTGATGAGACTCATTAGTAAGAGGATAGGATAAAAGTTTTTTGGATGATACGGTATTTTTTTGTCTCTTAAGTACTTAGATCAGTACATGGTTCATGTTTCCACTTCTAGAAAAATAAAGTGACATATTTTCCAGAAGGTTTTTCTCAAAATAATTTTTGTTTTTAACCATTTCTTCCCTCAAAAGTAAATACTGTATAAAATAAAGTATAAAATCATAATTTGCCCGTTTTGCAGGTTTATTTGGTTTGCTTTCAGTTTTCATTGAGGAGCAGGAGTTTACCTTCTAATCTGAAAATTTTCAGAAATTGATAGTGAGGTATAGCTGCACTTTATTTTCCTACAAGAGTAGAATGTGCTGAGAGGGGGACTTGCAAAGGCTGTTGAGACTCTTTTACTGTGGACCCACTCCTGTTACAGCTTTTTGCATGGAAGTGGTCTTATAGTAGAGGGACAAATACTGATCCTCTTGTTTATTGTGAGTGCCACAAGCTGTGCTTACTGCATATGCTTCCTTTCCTGATATTCTGAGAGAAGTGAATTTTGAAAAACAATAAATTGAGTCGTGGCCATAGGATATGTTGAGAAAAGAAAATGTGTTTGTCGTTTGAGAAGAGGTATTATATTTGTCTATGTCCTCCGTAATTTTGTCTGTTCCTCCCTGTCTCACTGTGCGTTGGCAAATCAGAAAAGGCACCCTGCATTTCTCTGTTATGTACTTGATAGTCAATAATTTTGTGCATGTTGAGATGTAACTGTTTCTAAAGTTACACATGAAATCATTTTTAAGGAGCGTGATATGGACAGAAGGAAGATTGAGGAACTTATGGAGGAAAACATGGCTCTAGAAATGGCTCAGAAACGAAGTATGGATGAATCACTACATCTTGGCTGGGAACTTGAGCAGATAAGCAGGTTTACTGATCATTCTGAAGGTAAGTTTAATAATATTTGCAAACTGGGAAGGAGTTGATAAATGAAGGCTTGGCAGGGAGAGTACTATTAAGAAATTAAAGCTCCTAATCCTGATTAGTTATTGCTGGTTTCTTTTTTTCTTTTTTAAACTCAGGCCCCTATATCTGTGCAGAGGCAACCGTGTGTTAAAAGGGTAAAACCCATAAATACCTTGGAGTTAAATGGTTTTGGCATTCAAACGTCTGTATTCTGCCTTGGTACTCTGAAAGTTAGGAGAGACTTACTAAGGTTTCTCAGTAATTACAGTAATTCTTGAAGCAAGAATATTGATTCTTCTGGTGTAAGAACGCTTGGTCATGTTGCTGGATCACATACCAAGGATTTGAGGAGATTTTGGGGAAAACTCTATCATGATTATGCACTATAGAATATGTAGGACATTTATTGTTTGCATCTGTAGTGTTCTCCTTGAGTAAGGAAAATGAGTCACTAATGCTCTATTCAAGTAGGAGGCACTGCAGAATAATCATAGGCTTCTAAATCTAAAAATGCCAAGTCTGTCCTTGAATGACTCCAGGTAATGACAAATTACCTTTTTTTCACCCTTTTTTTTTTAATTGTGTTTTGCTGTCACAGTGTCACATAAGTCACTTGGTCTTGAGGTAACTGAACAGACATCAAGCAGGTTACTGAAATTGGAAAAGGAAAACCAAGCCTTACTGAAAACAGTGGAAGAACTACGGAGCACAGTGGATGATTCTGTAGGAGGCAATAGTTCAAGGATTCTGAAAATGGAACAAGAAAACCAAAGACTGAACAAAAAGGTACTCACCAGTGTGTTTTGAGTTGTGTATGAGTTGCCTAATTTTACTTGCTATTTTTTAAGGCATAGCATAATAAGCATTGCCCTGATTTTGGCAAAAGTAAATATTGGTAGTGTCTGAGTAGTGGTATGGTGCTTGTAAGTTTAGGGTAAGGAAGACAATTTTACAGGAGAGATGGAAAGATATTTTTTTTCTAATTAATAATTTCCAAATGGGATCATTTTATTCAGAAGGCTCTTCTCACAGTAGGGAGGAAAATCGGTGTGTTAATATTGGGACGTAATGAAAATGTTTTATGATTCTTGATAAAAGTTACTTTAATTGTGTAATTATTACACAGGGGGAAGTATGTGTATATAGAGAGAAACCTGTCTTCACATATGCAGAAAACTTGATCATGTATTCTTGATCATTACTGAGAAAATAGAGATGATGAGTCAAGGAACTGCTCAGGTGAAATGAGAGAAGTTACTCAGATTTATCTGTGCTGATCTACAGTATTTTACTCTACAAATGATACATATCAAATAACTTAGTGATTATTGTAGGGAATAAAAACTGAAAAAAACAGGGACTAAGTACAGAGGAACAAAATGTCTAAAAGTTTCTGTAATAGCTATGTCAGACATTAGAGAGATTTGTGTTGGAGAGAGAAGAGGTAAGAGACAGCTGGGGGAAAAGAATGAGAAAGGAATCCCTTGTTGTCTGCTAGAGTTCTTACCACTTCTGATGTCTGCCAGCACGTCCTTCTTCTCTCCCTTGACTCTAAGAGCACTGCTGTGAATTGTAGTGACCTCAGAAAAATGAGTGAAGCTGAACAGAATATTTGTTACAGATATTTTATACGTAGTCTTTCTATCTAGACATGCTTTCAGGTAGACTGAGTGATTGTATCAACCCCACTCTTGGTGCCCAGTTTGCACAGACCTGCTGAGACAGCTGGGCAGGCTATGGGTAAATTTGGTTCCAGGTGGTACCTGACTGTTCCTGCTGAGGTGACTGAGCCAGTTACCTCTCTGTTGCAGAGTGCCAACATCCTCCTAAAACATGCATTGCTCTGCTAAGTTAGGGATCAGGACTATCTTAATTTCAGAGGGAAAATAAACAGAAGGCTGGTCAAATGTTAGTGTTCTCATCCAAAGTAGAAGTATAATTCAATTCTGATTTAATTGATGTCACACTTTTTGCATATTTCCAATCGCTGAATTGCTTTGTAGAACAGAATTTGTTATTCCATGGTCTCCTGTGATATTGTTTTATTCCTTACTATTTTTAACAGCAAGTAGGGGTGTGATTCAGGTAATTGGTTTCTGAAAGTATTTCTACTGAAGTCTGAGATGAACAGGCGATGAAGGGGCAGTAGAAACTCCACTTTCAGAAAAACAAAAGTGGGTGTTTGGGGAAATATCCAAAGCCTAATAATATTACCAACACTTTTTATGAAAAAGTAGCTTACAGGTCGTTTTCTCTGCTAACATAAAAGAATGTCTGTCAGAAGTCATTGAGGAATAAATTGAAATGAATTGTTTTGCATACAAAACAGAAAGTTACTCTAACTCTCCTTATTCATCTATATGAGAGTAAAGGCAAGGCTTAACTTTTTAAGTTTTTTTTTTTTTTTTTCCTAGATTGAGGGACTGGAGAAGGAAATTATCCAAGAGAAACAGTGTCTTCAGATCAATCAAAACTTGACTAAGGATTTGATGAAAGAAAAAGTACAACTTGAAAAGAAATTTGAGACACTTCGAGGAAACTTAGAACAACAAGTGAGTAACAGAATTAAAGGTCTTAATGCATTGTACTGTATTGTTCTTTTTTTATTTCTCTATAGGCATAAAGGAGTTGTAGATGTAGCAATACCTGCAGCAAGTTAACTTGTCTAAGACCTGCAGTCAGTGAGAGTCACAACTTATTTTGAGCTGAGTCTTTACTGTTAATTTTGGGACTTATTAGTGTTGAGTTTTCGTAGGCTGTGTATTTGCTGTGGTTGATTAGAGGGTGTAGCTCAGCCAGAATAGGAAATTGGTAACTTTGGAGTTAAGCCAAACACCTCTCAGTGGAGAAAAACAAGATTCAGGTGGCTGGTCAGTGTTTGGAGTAGTGTTGGAGTACTACTGAGAACTGTACAGCCGCTTCTTGCAGGGTCCTGTATCTGAGCTGCTCTGCTCAGATAAGGCTGTCACTTACCTTTGTAGTTATCTGGATACAATGGATCCTGCCCTGCATTCCAAACATCCCTTGCACCAGTACTACCAGCTAGTCACAGCTCAAAAATGATGGCAGAATCTCTTGTTTTGCTTGCTAGAAATTGGAGTCTGTGCCTTAGTAAAAGACGTGGGCTGTATTTGGAAGGGTACTGATGTTATCTTATGGGTGCAGGCACTGTCAGAGCTTCTGCAGGTTTTTGGTGAGCAGTTCAGAAGGCTGGTAGGAGGCAGCTAGTAGGAGACAAGCTATGGAGACCTCTGGAAATCGTTGTTAGTAATCAAGTCCTTCAAAATTAGACCTGTGGTTATCTTTTATTAGTTCTTAGTGAGATTTGATATTTTAGGGTTTAACTGAAAATTACAGAGTACAGTATTTTGGAGTACAGAATACTCTAAAAGTTCTGTAAGCTTGTAAAGCCCTTGTTTAATCAAAACATCAAATTCCAGACGTGGAAGCTAAATCCCAACCACTGTGCTTGGCATGATCCTGTACTTTCATTTAAGATAAGTGGGGATCATTTTAAAGCAAAGATGTCATCTTATCTTGTTTTGTTACAATAACTGATCAGTGCATTGTATTTGGAGCATGCAGAACCTTTCAGGAATAGGCCCTGAGTCCCTTTGTAGCCATCAGGAATACATGTGTTGTTTTCTGTGATGAAGTGGGACGGATAATTCTGTGAGACTATTTCTGCTTTGAAGTAATGTAGATCCTGTAATTAATAGTTGTATTTAGACTTGTGTACGAAAGAACACATCATTGGCTCTGTTTTTTATTGTGGCTGGCACTTCTTTGCATTTCTCATAGATGGTTTATTGTTCAAACATCCTTTATGGAATGTGATCTGTGTATTTCTAAGTATTGATCTAAATAGCTTTCTGGGTCTTGTAGTCTGTTAGTAAGTTAAATTGATACAGAGTAAGTAGGGAGAAAGAAGAAAAATGGAGATATAAAAGCTATCCTTGTTCTTGAAGTAGATTTGAGAGTACGTTCCTTACGAAAATGATTTAATCTTACCAGTGACTTTCTTTGTTTGGAGCAACGTGTCCTAACGTTTCTTTTTAACTGAAAAATTAACGTAGCTTTGATATTTCTTCCCAAAATGGGATTTGACTGTAAAGAGGACGCCCTCATATCCCAAAGATCAGTTCTGCTTTTTCCAAGGGGAAGAAAGACACTCTCATATCTGTCCCACTTCTTTCCATCTCAAGTTTGGTTTAGAATTCAACTGCAATTTTATACTTTGTTTATGTTTTTCTACAAAAAGCTGTCTGGAAATCACAGATTTTAAGGAAAATACAAACTAGATTTGTTAAACAAATGAGAAGGAAATGAAGTGAAGAAATAAAGCACAGCTTTTGTGGCTTTTTGTGTGCTTTATTTTTGTATTGTCTGAAATCCAAGAGGAAAATATTTGAGGAGCTTTTTTGTCAAACTCTCACCCGTGTACGTTTGCACCGTCTGTAAGGCTGCAAAGAAATAATCAGTAGAGTAAGAATCATTTAAAATCCTACTGTAAAAAGGCCATAGGATGCAGTCCTAGCATCTTAGTGTGTGTATGGGAATAATTATTTGTTGACGTGTTGCTTACTAAAGTTTGTTTTTCCCTTAAATTAGATTAAACTCCTAGAACAAGAAAACGAATGTTCAAATCAAACCATAGCTTCCTTAAGACAGCGCTCACAAATCAGTGCTGAAGCACAAATGAAAGAAATTGAAAATGAAAACAAAATTCTTCACGAGTCCATTAAGGAAAACAGCGGTAAATTAAATAAACTTGAATTTGAAATAAAACAAGTCCAGAAAGAAGTGAAACACTACAAAGAGAAAGCAGAGAGAGCAGAAGAACTTGAGAATGAGATGCATCGTCTGGAGAAGGAAAATGAAGCTCTGCAGAAAAGAATTGCTAACTTAAATATCACTTGTGAGAAGATAGAGGCCTTAGAGAAAGAGAACTCGGACCTGGACATGGAAAACAGAAAGCTGAAAAAAGCTTTGGATAGTGTGAAAAACCTCTCGTTTCAGCTGGAGTCCTTAGAAAAGGAAAACTCTCAACTTGATGAAGAAAACTTAGAGTTGAGAAGAAGGATTGAATCTTCAAAGTGTGCGAGCATTAAAATGGCACAGTTAGAATTAGAAAATAAGGAGCTGGAGAACGAAAAGGAGCAGCTTAAAAAAAGCCTTGAACTCATGAAAGCATCGTTTAAGAAAAATGAACGCTTGGAAGTCAGCTACCAAGGTCTAGACACAGAAAACCAAAGGCTACAGAAAGCCCTTGAGAACAGCAATAAGAAAATTCAGCAATTAGAAAGTGAATTACAAGATTTAGAGTCCGAAAATCAAACTCTGCAGAAGAACTTAGAAGAGTTGGTTATTTCTAGTAAGCGCCTGGAACAACTGGAAAAAGAGAATAAGTTGTTAGAACAGGAGACTTCTCAACTGGAAAAAGATAAGAAACAGCTAGAAAAAGAAAACAAAAGACTTCGACAACAAGCAGAAATTAAAGACAGTACTTTAGAAGAAAACAATGCCAAAATTAACCATCTGGAAAAGGAAAATAAGTCTCTGTTTAAGCAAATAGCTGTCTACAAGGAGTCATGTGTCCGCCTGAAAGAGCTAGAAATGGAAAATAAAGAGCTTGTGAAGAGAGCTAGCATTGATAAGAAAACCCTTGTCACTTTACGAGAGGTAAATAGGAAGTAGTTACCATTCTTGTAGTCTGTTTATAGCATAGAGAACTAATATCTCTGTTTTGGGGGAAAAAAAGAATGCTTCAATCTGTAAACTGCTAGCATTATTTTAGGGGTTGCAGTAGGGACAGAGGTGCATAATAATAATAAATGCAGTCATATTTGCACTGAAATCTTTAAGGGTGCTTATTGACAGTTATAGAGCCTTTGTTAAATGGATGTCGTTCAGATTCTTCATCTTAGTGTTTGTTTGGGCTGCAGCATTACCCCTTGATTCTGATGTTCAAGACCAAGTTAGAAAGGAAGGGAGTGAAGGAACTAAAATGAAATCCTACTTCTGGTTGCAGTGGAATGTCTGATACAATGAAAAGCTAACAACTGGGAGAAAGGGAGTTAATGGCACAGACGGATTTTAGACTGTGATAATAGAAGATGTGTCCCATAGGGAAAGCTAAGACATTTTATCTGTATGGTAACACTAACTTTTTCTGTGTAAGGACTTGGTGAATGAAAAACTGAAGACCCAACAAATGAATAACGATCTAGAAAAACTTTCCCATGAACTTGAAAAAATAGGCTTGAACAAGGAGCGTCTCCTGTGTGATGAGCAGAGCAGTGATGACAGGTAAGAAGAGTATTGGCTTGTCCAGTCAAAAAACAGTACAGAAGTGAGGGTCTGTCTTATTCATAAAGATAAAATGGTTTTATAGATTGCATTTTGTATGTGTTCAGATTTTAATGCACAGTAACACACACAAAATAGAGCTTGCTGTTCTTTGGTATGAATCAATTAGTAAATGTATTTGGCTGCCTTTGGCAATGAGTTACTACTTTTGCCACTGAGAAATTTTTTAAAGTATGTCAGAAGATGTGGTTAATGTGTAACTAAAACAGCCAATGTTCTAATTGGTAGTGGAAACAGTGACAGTAAAATGTAGTATGCTCATCTTAAGATTTTTCCCCTTCTGGTTGGTAGAAATATTATTAACACTTTTGTCATGTTAGCTTACATTCTGTCTTTGCCTACTGCTATTTTCTTGTAAAATCTATCAAAAAAGTAATTGCTCCTATCTGGACTAAGATATTTCTAATGCTTTCCATGCCTGCCAGCATAAAGCAGCTGCTACCTGATATCTGCTTCAGTTTCCTCTGTTGTACGTTGTGTTCTGTCTTGTCCTGCAGGGATTTAGGGAAAACTTGTGACAGAAGAAAAGCAGACAAGTGTGGGCTTCTGGCCAGTCTTTCCAGTCTTTCCTTCATGATGCTATTTTTTTTTTCTTAAAAAACAACAACAACAAAACCAACAGAAGCAGGGGAGAGGAATAGCTGGTGTTGTCATGATCATCTGTTATTATCAGTGGTTCTCATGAACACATAGGTTGGTTTAGGGCCTTTTATACTGAAAGAAAACCAAATGACATTTCTTCTTCTTCAGATTCCTTTTCTTGATGCCAGAGCTGATTTAGTGGGGTGGTGCCATAGAGCCATTGCCATCTCTTCTTTTCTGCTGGTGTCCTTTGTCATCTTCTCTCAGCTCACAAAATAAGAAGTTCTGTCAAGAGCAGTCCTTAGAACTTTGTCTATTTAAGCAGATCCTACACCCTTTCACGTAGTACAGCTTCCAAAAACACCTGTACAGAATCATATTCTTTCCCATTTCAGATACTTCTCGTTCAAGAATGAATGAGAAGTATCTCAAAACTTTTTAAAAACTGCGTGGAGGATCGTGAATGAGAAATATTTGTTTGAAATGTGGAAAGTTTGTTTGGTTGGAAATTGTGCTTTACAACTGTCCTGCCTTTTACTTTGCAAAGTGAAAACACACTTGTTTTTACCCTTATTTAGAGAAAAATCTCTTTATTTCTATCTGGGGCTCAGCTGATCCTGTCTGATAAATTAGCTTTGAATTCCTTGCCATTTTGTCCTACCTTTCAAACAGCAGCTGTCTTTAGGCAAACATTTGTAGATTCAGACCTTGAATCTGAAATACCCAAATGGCAGTGAGGTCAGAAATTTGTACCGTTTCTTGTTGTTCAGTATTCAAAAGGATGCTGGAGATTGAGTCTGTTATTACACAAAAAGAAGAAGGAAAAGGAGTAACTGTATAACTTTCTAATAACAGAACTTACTGGTAGCTGAATATATGCTTCAGCTCACAAAGGCAAAGTGCTATCTGTTCTACTTTTCACAGACTGCCTGAAAACTATTCCTTGTATCTCAGAATCTAGAATTCTCATCCTACTACGTGATGTTTTTGGACAGCTTTCTACTTATTAACTCTCTTACCATTGGTCTTCTGCTCCAGTTCCTGACTAGATCTAATGCTGTTGTCAATTCAGGAGTCTCTTGCAATCTCTTCTCTTCACTCTGACAGATTTTTTCAGCAATTGAGATTAGGAAGGAAAGAATTTATGGCTGCTTCTGTTTTATCCTACAGCTGGTAAAAGTGGGATGTCTTCCAAAATTCTGAACACAAGTACAGTGACAGAGCAGTTGAAAAGTGGAGTGTGGCCTTCTAAAATCCTCTATTCTGAAAGATCTAATAATGCATTAGAATATCCTGCACTGACGGTCTCAGGAAATACTGTTCTAAAGCAATATATCCTAAATCTGGTCCCTCCTCTCCAAAATGTGGTTGTTTTTTTTAGGTGCCCTACAATATTTTAAATACAGCAAAAAAAATGGAATCTTCATATGTCAGGAGTGGTAACAGTCTTAAAATAGCAGCAGCTGGGCTGAGGGAGCAATTCACACACTCATGCATCAAATGAGCATGCACCTGCAAAGAACTGTTCTCCATCCCTAATGCCTCCTCTGTTTGAGCAGGCAGGAAATGGAAATTGATGAAAATCTTGCTCTCCAAATACTTCACATTTGAATTTAGTTGCAGTCCCTGCTGCATTTGCTGGAGTGGAGCCAGAAAGAAGGGTGATGTCAGCACGCGCTTTAATTCTCCCTGTAAAGTCAGCACCCTACTGTTGTGGCTGAGTATTTCTTTTGTATATCTAATATGTTTGGAGAGAAAGAAGGATTTAAAGATGGTTTTGATTGTTACCTTCCATTTCTGTTAGAGAGCTGATGTTATCACCAAGGCATCTTCATGCTTTTGACTAGAGTTAGCACGTGGATGTTTTTGAATGTAGCTCCCGGGCGTACAGCTTCAGAGCAGGGTGAAATTTAGGTAACCTGAAATAATTGTTGAAAGAAAAGCATTTCTTTGTGGTATGCCTTTGAATAGGTACAAACTTTTGGAGTCAAAATTGGAATCCACTCTTAAGAAATCTCTTGAAATAAAAGAAGAGAAAATTGCTGCTTTGGAGGCTCGTTTGGAAGAATCAACAAATTTAAACCAGCAACTCCGTCAGGAACTTAAAACAGTAAGGATGTGTTTTTTTGCATAAGGTTACATGAATCGTATTCCAGCTACTGTTGTTTCTGCTTTTTGTTTGGTATTTTTGTTTAAGACAGCAAAAAAGATGAGTAACCTTGGGGTAGCATAAAGCAGGGCAAAGGTGTAATTACTTTTTAAAACTGGAGTGATAGAGGTCCAGAATTGAAATCACATGAAAAGAAGTTGGTGATCATTGAATGTGTCAGGTAGATAAACGTTCTGAAGTCTGTTTGACTTGGGATGCCAAAAACAGTCAATTCTTAGCAAGTTACATTTCCTGATCTGCTTTGAGCCTCGATGGCTAGTTAATCAAGGAGACTATTTCTTTTTTTGTTGGACTTTGTTGTAAAAGTCAAGAGACACAATTGGAAGCACTGGAATAAAACGAAGTCTCCTTTTGGTTCACAGTCATACTGTCTAAGTGCTTATTATGGTTGAGCTATCAGTATCCATATGTCATTTTTACAGTATCTCATCAGAGATAAAGAAAGCAAATTTACAGATGGAATAGTATAGAGCATTTTTTGTACTGTGGAAAGTGGTACAGTCATATGGTGTTGTATGGTGTAGAAAATGAAAACTACTAAACTGAATGCAAACTGTCCTAAATAATTTCAGGTGAAAAAGAACTATGAAGCTCTCAAACAAAGACAAGAAGAGGAAAGAATGGTTCAGAATCCTCCTCCAAGAAAGGGAGAAGAAAATCAGTCTGTCAATAAGTGGGAGAAAGAAAACCAGGAAACAACTAGAGAATTACTGAAAGTTAAAGATAGATTAATTGAAGTGGAAAGGAATGTAAGATGTGCTTCTTCTGTTATTCTCATTTGAAATAGCTGTCATAAGCTGTTCCAGTAATGTGTATAAGGGTATTCTTAAAGAAGTGTGCAATTTGTCACCTAATTTACAGCTGGATCTTGTGATGCTGTAAAGCACTTGACAGGCATTTAAAAGGAAAAAAATGGAAACCTGAATTTTTCCCTTTTGAATCTACAGATATCTCACAAATGACTCACATGGTGTTTGTATACACATCAGTGAGAGTTCTTTACCATTTCTCCATAGGTAAAATACTAGTTAGCCATTATTTCAGTCTTAAACTGTAGTGATATCATTGTATGTTACTCCTGTAATGTAAGGTGATACACAGTTTTGTTACACCCTGTAAATATCTGTGAATGTTGTCAATCTTGCTGCTGAAGCTGAAGTACAAAGGATAGGAGTGTAAATCATGCTGCTTTATTTGCTTTGGAGGAAGTGTTGTTTCTAAAGTTCCATAAAAGCCTGTGAACTCTAATTTTCTTTTTTGTTGTTGTTCAAAGAATGCTACACTTCAAGCGGAGAAGCAAGCACTGAAAACACAATTAAAGCAGCTTGAGACACAGAATAACAATCTGCAGGCTCAGATTCTTGCACTTCAGAGACAGACTGTTTCTCTGCAGGAGCAGAATACAACTCTACAGACTCAAAATGCCAAACTTCAGGTAATGCTTTCTTATTTTCTTTTTAAAAACAAATGTAATTGAGAGGTTTTTTCAAAGCTAACTACAGTGATGTAAGTCACATTTTGTTTCTGGTGCGCGTATGGAAGAGAAGGGAATGTGCAAATAATATGCAATAAGCACAATCAAATGAGATTTAGTGATTGATGATCAAGAACAAAATTTCTGGAAGTTGCTTCTATTCCCTTGTGTTTGTCCTATTTAAACTTGTGGCTTTATAACTGGGAGTCGATTCTCCTGTCTATTATTATTATTTCTTTTTTAATTCTAAATTAGGTCAGGGAAGCAGTTGGTACATCCACAGAGACTAAGAAGTCATTCTATTTTTATAGCTGGAGTTTAAAATAAGTAAATAAAAAATCATACCTAAAAGAAAAAGCAAGGTGTTATTAAATACATGCGTGGGTTTTTTCCTCTGATAAATAAAATACACTTCTTTACGGATTGGATTTTGGAGCTCTATAAATCAAAACTACTTGATGGGAAAATTAATACAAACTCAGCAGTGCAGCACAAATAGATGTGAAAAAATGACGAAAGGTGGGCAGAAGTCAGTGAGTGAAGGAATCCTTATGTGAGTGAATAAAATAACGGGGAAAAATAATGCACTTTGTGAATGCCTTGAGTCATCATTCCGCCTTCTGCTGTTGTACCACAGATGCACTTTCCATCTACCACGCAGAAATCTAATGAGTGCACAGTGCTCCCCTTTGTGGCAGGCCAGCCTGTGTACAAAACAGAGTATTTGTGCACATGGTGTGTCTCATCTAGATTTTAAACTATCAGTGGGCACGGGCATGGGAATATCTTGCATTTCAGACAGGTAGGGGTGTACATCTGGGATTCAGGACTGTTGCTGTTTTGTAATAACATTTGTCAAAATAACAAGAATATCTTACACAGTTCCTTTTTGCTGCATGAAGGAACATCACCACAAGCCTTTCCTATCTGACAAGTAAGGGTAATAACTGTAGATAAGTTCAAGTGCTGTGATAATGAGTTGGAAGAAGTATTTTTCGCTTTCAATGTAGTTGTTGCTGTGAGCTTCACTAAGCAATGTGATGTTAATAGCTGGAAATGACAGGAGAATGTCACACCCAGCTTGAGAAAGGGAGTTCCTCCTCTTCCTTGAGAATTCAGCTGTTTTTCTCGTATCTGTTGGAGAGCAAGTAAATCTAAATCAAAATGAAAGCTGAAGTATGCTCAAGAAAATTAAAGTAACTGAACCAGAAATGCAAACTAGCCTGATCTATGTTGACTACATTGAAGCTGTTCTTAAGCAACTGTAAATCCAGTATTCCTCCTGTTAACCCTAAAGAACATATCAGAAAAATGACGCAGTAAAGAGTAACTGGGAATTCTGAACCGAATCAAACTTTGAATTCAGTCTGTGAAGTTTTGCAGCATATACATGCTGCCAGATGTTACTTCATTTCCAGTCAAGGTTCAGCTTTGTCATCTGCAGCAAAGAATGCTTCTGTTCCAACAGAAAGGGATTTGCTCCTCAGTAATAGCATGTACTGCAGCAACAGACTTTCTTGGTTTTGTTTTTAACCTTAACAGATACCTTGAGGGTATTAGAAGTTGCAGTCAGTTAGTGAATGTGTTTATTTGCTTTTGTTTTTGATTAAGAAAGAGGAGGAAACGAGCATATTACAGCTCAGGTGACAAGTATGTTAGGTATCCTCAATTCTTTAATACATCTAAGGATTAGATTAGGTTAATTTTTTATAGGCAAAGTAAAGATTTTCGTCTTATGTTGAATACTTTAATGTATAATGGACATTAATACTGTTCTGACAGAGTTTTTAAAGCATGGTCTTCCACAGGAGTGCCTTCTGTCAGCTGCTTCAACATGCACATAAGGTGATCAGCTGCTGCCATTTACTGTGATGGGAAAAGAACAGTAACTGGCAGCTTCTCAGTCAAACAGAATCTGGCTAGGTCCTTTCAAGTTTGATAGCTTCCCTTTCTCTCTGCTAAATGGATGGCAATGTTTTAAGACTGATTGTGAAGTCTACATGGATACAGCAAGGTTTTGTGGAAACAATAGAGATTCTGTACTAGAAAGAGTTGTTTTTTTTGTTTTTTTGTTTTTTTAAGAAGAGTTGCACCAAAATAAAAGGAACTTGGATATTAGTAGTGTCACAGATTGGATTTACATGACTAGGATCACTGATGATCCAAAATATTGTTAGGGGTGTGCAGATTTGAGTTATTAGGATAGAAGAAGAAAAGTGTTCTTGTTAAAGGTTGTCAGGTAATGGAGTAACCAGACAGATGCAGTTAAACACTCAAAGTTAAACACTCAAAAACCCTCTAATAGGAGGATTCAGACAACATGATTCAGTCTGTGAAACTAATTTGCTTCTCTCGTCAAATATTCATGACTGCAGGTTGAAAATTCTACCCTTAATTCTCAAAGTACATCTCTAATGAATCAGAATGCACAACTGTTGATTCAACAGTCTGCTTTAGAAAATGAGAAGGAAGGTGTGCTCAAAGAGCTGGAAGATCTGAAGTCACTGTACGATTCACTTCTCAAAGACCACGAAAAACTGGAGCACCTACATGAACGCCAAGCTTCTGAGTATGAGTCACTGATTGCTAAACATGGAAGTCTTAAATCTGCACACAAAAATCTGGAGGTGGAGCATAAGGACTTGGAAGATAGGTAAATACTGACGTGCATGTTAAAAATAGAAGACTTTTTTCTAAGCAAATAGTGCTGTGTACTTAGTATGAATAAAATTTTCTTTACTCAAAGGTATAAGATCTTCAGAATTTGAAAAATCACCATTTCAAGAAAATTTCCATTTTTTCTTCTTATTCTGTAGAAAAGAAGTTGAATATGATTTTTCTTTGCAGGTACAATCAGTTGCTTACACAGAAAGCGCAGCTGGAAGAATTGGAGAAAGTGCTCAAAACAGAGCAGGAGAAAATTCTGCAGCAAAATGAAGAACATGAGACTGTGGCAGCAGAGTATAAGAAACTTCGTGATGAAAATGAAAGGTAAAGCAGAAGTCTGGTGTGTGTGTGCTGGTGGAGCCCTGAGTGCTGACCAGCATGGTCTAAACAAGTATTGCATCCACTCATGTTTCTTAACACCTGATGCCATGGAGCAGAACATAAATGATCCATGCCTTATAGAAGCTGCTCTGTAATAGGAAGGCTGAACAGGGGAAAAAAAAAATATGCACAAAGAGTATCATTTATCCTGACTAAACTGAATTTCACTTTGCAGCACAAGAATGCCAGACAAAGTGCTGTGCAGTGTGGATGTGGACTGTAGAGAGAGCAACCCACCGTGAGTTCCTCAAGGGGCGGGATGACAGGTTGCTGCTGATAGGGGTAGAAGAGTAATGATGTGGGCAGTGAAGGTCTGCACAACACATATCTGTGGGAAATCAGATTTAGAGAGAACTACTAAGGGAACTTTATACCTATTCTGAGAGAGTAGCATCAAGCCATGGAAGCTCAGTGTTTCGAGGGAGTTTGAGTTGCAAATACATTTCCTGATATCAAAATTGCATGTACAGTTCTGTTATCTTTTAATTCCAGGCTTGCTCATACACACGATCAACTCTTGAAAGAGAATGAAGTTCTGCAAACTGATCATAAGAATTTGAAGACTTTACTGAACAGTTCCAAGCTGGGACAAACACAATTAGAAGCTGACTTCTCTAAACTCCGAGAGGAGTACCAACTGCTGGATATTAAATGTACAAAAATAACTAACCAATGTGAGGTATGTAAAAATTACTGTATTTTTAAGACCAGTATCACTGTAACATTACATATAAATTCATAAAATAAAATGAGGTGCCTGAGAACTGATCGCTTGTTTATAGATAATGAAATGGGTCTGAAGGGAAATGAATTTGCCTGCTGTACAGGCAGTCAAAAAAATGGGCTCCTGCTAGGTAAACTGTATTAATTGAAACTTAAAGCTCTTATCAGTTGTATCATGATCTAGTTTTGTTTGATTTGACTGTTGAAATAAATAATTGTAGACCTCTGTTTCTTGATAATCTCATCTGTGTATAAAATAGGTTCGTATATGTATGCACATAAATTTCCATTTATTTTAACAGCTGCTTAGCCAGCTTAAAGGAAATATGGAGGAGGAAAACAAACATCTACTAGATCAAATTCAGACATTAATGCTACAGAATAGAACATTACTTGAGCAGAATATGGAAAGCAAGGATCTCTTCCATGTAGAGCAAAGGCAGTACATGTGAGTTTTGAAAACAGTGAAATTACTGTGATAAGAGCAGTTACATTTTTTTAAATACCCATTTTGTTGTGTACAGAAATGAACATATCATAAGTAGCATGTTTTTCTCTTGTAAAAAACAAAAACTTAAGTCAAATATGGACAGTAGCTGATTAAAACTAAGAACACTTGTTTTTAACTGTAAAAGATGAGTGCAACTGCTTTCGTTATTAGTGATAAAAATGTCTAATTAAAATGTCCTTCATTCCTCATTCAAAAATCCCAGACTTGTTTGCAAACTGCAGCCTGTTCAGTGAATTTGATAGAAGAGAAAATAAACTTGTGTAAATGATCCTGGTATGACCTACATACACCTTTTGGGGCCAGAGGTTGTGTGTCTTACGAAAGGCTGATGTCCTTATCGTAGTGAAGGCTGCTTGTTTTCTTCATTTCACTGTCTTGATATTTTTTTTAATAAGAAACAAGTGTCAGATAAGAATTTCCCACAAAACTGTCAGCTCTCAGATAACTGATATCCAGAGGAACATGCTACTTGTGTGTTATGTATTCATTAAATGCTCATTTTCCAAGCATACGCTATCATTAATTTCTGTTCACAGTGACAAGCTAAATGAATTAAGGCGACAGAAGGAGAAACTGGAGGAGAAGATAATGGATCAATATAAATTTTATGAGCCATCTCCACCCAGAAGGTAGTGATCCATATGGTGTAAAATAGATATCTACAACACAACACGTCCATTCTGTTCCAACTGAAAGATGAGAGATTTTTTTAAGCTTCAGAGGAACAGAATCACGTCTGTATTCTTTCATACATAGGACAAGTATGAAGGCCTAAGTAATACATTGCAAATGCAAATAAATGTGTTGTATTCCTGGTAACAGAAGGGGCAACTGGATTACACTGAAGATGAGGAAACTGATGAAATCCAAGAAGGATGTTAATCGAGAACGTCAGAAGTCTGCAACCCCTACACCTACCCGTTCAGAATCCAGTGAAGGATTTCTTCAGCTGCCCCACCAGGACAGTCAGGATAGCTCCTCAGTGGGCTCAAACTCTATTGAAGATGGACAAGTCCTGGGAACCAAGAAGAGTACTAGTGAGTACTACTACTACTATGAAACCTCTCTTTAATGCATTTAAAAATAAAGATGTTGTCAGTTTAAACCTCTGTATTATAGAGGATTTTTTTTTTTTACAGATAATTCATAGAGTCTTTAGGAAGTGAGTCTGAATTTTTTCATTAGTTAAATTATTTTTTTTTACAGATTTCACGCAGATCTTTTTAGTGGGCAGGTAGTCGTTTTTAGCATTTCTGTAGCTCTAAATGAAAGATGTTGAGAAGAAAGATTAAGTGAATATTGTTATTGGGTCAGGAAAGCAGAATTTCAGGTATAATGTTGGATAACATCACAGGACCATGTTTTGTTTCTTCCTTTTGTCCTCGCATGAATCCTTCCCCTCATCTTTGTGAGTGCTTTGCAAGCTGTGGCTGTGCTAACTTGCAGTTGCTAAATAGATCTTCTGTTTGGAGATGTTCCTCCAGCATCTCACAGAATCAGTGGTGAAGACTTCTGACATTTGAATATGCAATGGGAAGCATTATATAGGGATATAACTGTTTTTTAACACGCAAACAACAGCAACAAAACAAAACCACTCGTTACTCATCTGAAGGATTAAAATTAAAAGACTAAAGAGGGAAGCTGAGGAGCATCACAAAAGTGTGGGAGGATCAAATATTTCAGATTTGCTTACATTGAAAGTGCTTGACACCCACTGTTTTAGGATGACCACCATATAAACGACCAGGTTCTGCGTCTGATATATCAGTATCTTTTGTCATCCACTAATGGCATCAATCACAAACTGTCCAATTTCTTCAGAGATAACGTTACAGACAGGTTTTCAAGTTGCAGTGATTGTATTTAATAATTAGACCTCGAAAGCATTTTTGGCTGTACATTTAAAAACATTAGAATACATGTTTAGTAACAATCATTTTTTAATTTTTAAAAAAGTTCTTTGTCTTGGGTTTCAAAATACATCAGATGGATATTCTCCTTTCATGCCAGCTATGAATTTCCTGTGTTCAAAATAATTGAAACTGCCATGGAGATTTTTTTCTGAGCTTACTACATAAACTTAGCTGAAGTTGAAAGCTCTACAAGCACTATTTCATGGTAGTTTTCAATTGGCTACATCATTTTTTAAAAATAGTAAAATATTGAATTTGAGGGTAGGCTTCATTGCTTTGGTTGCTAAATTGACAATTTGGGGAGTTCAGATTTCTCAATGTAAGAGTTTCTAAAGCTTCAAAACAGGTATCTGAAATTTGGAAAAGCGTATTTTGGAATGCAAGCTCAAAGTCTTACAGAGTTCAGGACTGAGTGAAGCTACAGTGGATGTGTTCACACGTGTGGTTGAATCAAGTGTGCATGCTTTGGTTCAGAGTGGGTGCACAGTAATTGTGTGTTCTGGAAGGGCTCTTCTGTGTGCATTTTCGTGTTCACACTTGGGACCTTGTGGTGTTAGCATGCTGCTGCTACGCTCCTCATGAAGCCAAGGTTGAAACTAGGGTGGCTGATCCTTAGAGATTTGAAATTGAATTGAAGAGATTTGAAATTGTTCAGATCTCATTAGTTTTCTATCCATGGATCTTATTCACGTTCCTTCTAATTGTAGTGTATTTATCCACAAACTGGAAGGACTGATCTAATTCTGAATCCTGTCTTTCCTCCATTACACATGGCATCCATAGTTTTTGATAGAATTTGGATAAATTGTTTGCCAGCTCAGTGCTGACAATCTTACTGAGATGCACAAAACTGAGATCAGAATGTGCCAGTGAGAAGCACCGATAGTGGTGCACGTTTTGCAGCCTACCAAAATAACTTTTGCCGTCTCCCTCCTATTCTCAAAGAAGTGACTCTGCAGTATTGGCCTCCACTAAAAGAAAATACAGGAGAAAAAATCTCTGTCTTCTGTCTATACGTGGTGTTGTAGCTTTTCACACCAATGGAAGGCCATTTGTGGAACAGAACTTGTCCTGTCCCCAGCCCCACTGATCTCCCCTATGTTTGTAAAAGGAGGTGATCCCGGAGGAAAATGAAAAACCTTCCCAAGTGTCCTTCAGAAGGTGAGAGAAGGTGATTTCTGTTCCCCAAATTGCCATCATTGGCACAAATCAGGGATGCTCTCAGAGGGTTTTGCATACAGTGTCCTCCGGCGATCCTTGAGACCTGTGGGCTTCCATATCCTGCCGGAGAAACGGAGACAGTAATTCCAAAATGAATTATTCTGCTACTGCCACTGATTGAAAATGAAAGCAACAGCTGGGATGATTTTCGTCTGCTCTCAGAGAGCCTGAATCCCTTGTTTGGTTTCAGAGGCCTTCACTTCTCACATCTGTACTCAGTGGTTGAGTCTGGAGAGTAGCACAGATCTGATATGTGGTTTGTGTGGAGCCTCTTCTCTGGGGGGAACAGCATCCACAGAATCGGGGCTATTACTAAGCTGCCATCTTTAAACAGTAGTCCCAGTAGCAGATGTATTACTATCATGGAGGTACCAGGAATAAATCATGCTCCATTTTGAAGATCACAGAATCACAGAATTGTAGGGGTTGGAAGGGACCTCCAGAGATCATCGAGTCCAACCCCCCTGCCAAAGCAGGTTCCCTACAGCAGGTCGCACAGGTCGGCATCCAGGCAGGTCTGGAACATCTCCAGAGAAGGAGACTCCACCACCTCCCTGGGCAGCCTGTTCCAGTGCTCCGTCACCCTCACTGTAAAGAAGTTCCTTCATGCATTTGTGCAGAACTTCCTATGCTGCAGTTTGCAGCCATTTCCCCTTGTCCTGTCTCCACTCACCACTGAAAAGAGTCCGGCCTCGCCATTCTGCCCCGCACACCTTAGGTACCTATAGACCTGGATCAGGTCCCCTCTCAGTCTTTTCTGCCCAGCTCTCCAGCCTGTCCAGCTCTCGCTGAATGGCAGCACGGCCTTCAGGCGTGTCAGCCAATCCTCCCAACTTCGTATCATCAGCAAACTTGCTGAGGGTGGCCACCATCCCCTCATCAAGGTCATTGATGAAGATGTTGAACAAGACTGGACCCAGCACCGACCCCTGAGGAACACCGCTGCTCACAGGTCTCCAGCCAGACTCTGCACCGCCAGCGACGACCCTCTGTGCTCTGCCAGTCAGCCAGTTCTCAACCCACCTCACTGTCCACTCATGTATCCCACACTTGCTCAGCTTTGTTATAAGGATGTTGTGGGGGACAGTATCAAAAGCCTTGCTGAAATCCAGGTAGACTACATCCACTGCTCTGCCCCCATCCACCCAGCCAGAGACAACATCATAGAAGGCCACCAGGTTGGTCAAGCACGACCTCCACCTGGTGAACCCGTGCTGACTAAAGATGTCTGCCCAAAGGTCTTCCTGCGTGCATGAACAAAACTTGGGGACTGTAACATTGTCCATACAGAACTCTCCATGGTGTTTCTGGCAAATGTGGGATGGCAAACTGGAAGGTTTTGAGATTGAGTGGGAGAATTCTACAGTGTTCATTTTCAACTCAGGAAGTAAGATTGTGTTCACAGAATCTCAAAAGAAAAAGCAAATGGAATGCTTATAACTAGAGTTATAGTGTATATAGAGAGGATTAATAAGATATTCCTCCTACCATCACCAATTTTTTGGAGTTTTTTGGAATAAATATGCAAAAGAGCTAAAGCTGACTCATCTGAACTTTTCTATTTGCTTTTGCTGTAGCTCTGCTGTTCCAGAATTTTTGCAGGACATTTCTTTCAGGCAAAACAAGCAGGCTCCAAGGAACTTATATGCAAAGGACTTCACAGAAGATACCAATTGCAGGAAGCAGCAAGTAAAATAATCTAAAGCATTCTGTAGAAAGGATTATAAACAGGTCTTAACTGCATTGTGTCCCCTGTAGCTTCTTCAGTTTACATTTGTTCCCTTTTGTTAGAAACAGTCTTTATACCCCAGTCTTTCTACCCTGTATGTACATACCACCTGGGTTAGAATTGCTCTGGTCTGTGACTTGGGCTGCTGAGTGCTGTTTGAAGACAGCAGAGCACTGTAGACACACTGCTCTAAGTGCAAACACAAAACAGTACAACAGAAAGAGATTTATTTCTGTTTCAGGCTAGTTCTCGTGCACTTGTGTGTATGTATATATGTACATGTAAAATACATATGAAATACGTATATGTGTACATATAGAATAGAATGGATGTATAACAAGCTACTGGCTTAGCAGAAAAACAAGGTGAATGACAAAGCATGCACCTCAAAAAGCCTCTCTAGAGAGGTAAAATAAGCAGATCTTGGGTTGACAGAATGTTCTGCACTGCTTTCACATCTGCATAAGCAAGAACGTTCAGTGATTCCATGATGTTTCTTTCTGGATCTTTGTATCTAGTTGTTTGCATGTGGCTCCTGTATGCTTCGCAGTCAGCTGATGCATTTATCTGCTGCTTCAAGGTGAAGTAATTAGTGAATAGCAATCAGTTACTAATGGACAATAGCTGAATCTAAGGATAAGTCATTTTCCCCCTTCCCATCTTTAAATACTGTTTGTAATTTTAACTCTGTTTCCTGGTATTTAGTATGTTATCCTGAAATACCACAGCAACGCTCACATCTGTATTTTCTTCTGCTATTTTATTTATTTTTTGAATCTTTGGGGTTTTTCCAGCCAAAAGATTCGGTATTTACTGTTCCAGCCAGTAAATATTGATTTAATTTTTCTAACTACAGATTCATCTTAATTTACAGGCAATTCAGTAAGGTATTAACATCACTCCACATATAAATGTAGCTGCTTGAATATAAGGTCCACTAATATTTCTAGAATGTAGTCAAAATTATTGGTGAGCAAGAAATATTAGTAAAGATTGTTTTGTTCTGTAGACATTGGGCAAAAGTTACAGAAGTTATTGTTTTCAAAAGATAATGATCAGAACATGTGTCAAAGTAGGCACTGTACTTAATTACTCCCATTTAAAGCTTTCTGCTTCACGTTTTTGTTTACATTTAATAAATGTGCTTTTCACATTTAAAAGAAAAAGCATTATTATCAATTTTTATAGCCATCTCCAAAGACGTTCCATGTAGTTTTCCAGGAGGTGGCAGTTAGAGCTTTCAGACTGTGATACATTCTTCACCATTGTTTTTGGTGCATTTCTGCATATATTAAGGTTTTCATAGTGCAGTTTCCATATTTTGGTGTAGCTTTCATATTTCATTATCACACAGAAGCATGAGAGTGATGTTTGTAGCATAGCATAGCTTAAACTCAGACATTCATTTCTGTCCTTAGTTTCAGCATTTAACTTCCATCTGTTCTTCTCCCTTTTTTTTCTTTCATTTCCCTGTTTCCGTTTTTCCTCATGCTATGACATAAAAGTGGTTGCACTGAAAAGACTGCCCTTTTTGAGGAACAGACCGAAGGAAAAAGACAAAATGAAGGCCTTCTATCGTCGCTCCATGTGTAAGACTTTATGACAGTTCAGCTTCTTTAAATGGCTACACTGGCTTCCATTACTAATTTTTCACTAACCTCTCCCTGGACTGCGCTGTATTTTTCCTCCTACTTTGCAGTGTGCAAGTCCTGCTACTATACAAGGAGCTGGAGCCTTTTCTCTTTCCTTTTTTTCAACCTGAGCACTGAATACCTTATATATGTCCACATGTGCACACAACACGTTGACATGCACACGCATATATATATATTCAGTGCATCGCAATTGCGTATACTTGTATACACATTTGTCTATATACACATGTCTGCATGTGTATATAAATTTACAGTGCACTGTTTAAGCATAAGTAGTTCTAAATTACACGTTTCATAAGCCTTTTATTAAGAAATCGCTGCAATTTTTTGTTTAAAGTGAGTGTAGAAAAAGTAGTGCAAGGTTGTATGGTGGTCTGTCACTCTTCAAGTATTCATCACTTGTTGTTGCCAAAATTTTGTATTGATTTATTTTCCTTTTTCATGAGGAGTGGAGAAGTTTCTCTGTCTTTGCCAAGTAAAGGTGAATGTCATCAGAACTCATCGTTTTCAGATCCTTTTACTGTGTGAAGTACAGTTTGCCTGCAGTATCCTGCACTGTACGAGGATCCCGTGTCACTCTTGGCATTATATTGTGTCAGCACCTTGCCCGTTTATTATTCATTCCATTTTATCATTGCAAGCAGCATATCAAAGCTTCTAACATATATATTACACATCATTGCAGCACAAGCATGGTGATTATAGCTAGTAAAATCAGATTTAAGAGCCATACAGAGTTCAGAGAAGTCTCTTGACTTTCAATACTTCTCATTCGTTGAGCTGATTGCATGTCATAACATGGATGATCTCGTGTTTGTACCTTCTGGTATTCAATGCACTTTAATGCTTAGAGAACTGTCAAACGTTTTGCAGTATAAAATGAGAACAAAAGCAAATACATTGACCATGCTGATCATTTGCTTTCATTTGCATCCCAGCCATGAATGACCTGGTGCAGTCCATGGTCCTAGCAGGAGGACAGTGGACAGGTAGTTCTGAGCATCTGGAGGGTCCTGATGATATATCTGCGGGTAAAAGGAGGAAAGAATTGGGAGCTATGGCCTTCTCTACTACAGCTATCAACTTTGCAACTGTCAACTCTTCTGCAGGCTTCAGATCCAAGCAGTTGCTAAATAATAAAGGTATAGGTAGAAGCTCTTTGCACCATGATGTGTCTGTGTGTGACAGCAATTTCATGTATATATTTTTTTGTTTTTTTTGTTTTTTTTTTTTCAGCAAAAAGCAACCTGAGTAATTGAGTTATGGTGATGAGGAGGTGAATGGCTTTAATAACTATAACTAGAAAATGTCAGGATTGTGCATACAGAATGTTACATAAGTAAAAGTGGATTGATTTGAAAATGATTACTGTATGTTACAGATAAGTGCACCTATGATCTTCACTTCATTTCACATCTTCTTTTGTCTCTGTGTTTAGATGCTGTGTCGTTTGAAGATGTAAGTCCACAAGGTATTAGTGATGATTCTAGTACAGGATCAAGAGTTCATGGTAAGATGTAAATTTTAATTGAATTGCTTATGGATGTATTATGTGAGTGTTAACAATGTTTGGGGAAAAAAACCCACAAACCCCCCCCCCCCCAAAACAGTGAATGGCACGGTTACAAGTGAGCATGCTTTCTGTGATTTGCATACCTCTTGAATGCGTAGCATCAGTATTGTTTCTTCTGATTATCCTTTTCTTCAAACACTACCAGATAAAATATTCTCTATCTCTATTAGAAAGTATGAAGTGCATCTGAACAGGATCAAAATTTTTTGCCTTTAAAAATTGTATTTGGAGTTTTGCAAAATAAAAGCAGCTGTTATAATCTCAATCATAAGGAAAAAAAAGCACAAAACAACAACCAACCAAACAAGAAAAATCACAAATGAACAAAAAAATCCCACAAACAACAAAAAAAAAAAAGCAAATCCAATTCTGGCCAGATTTGCCAATATTTCGTGTATAGTGAGATGTAAATGTGCTGTGTACATATCTGATAAAGAATCATTATAGGTTTCTTCAAGCAAAGGTATGAATTGAGAGCTGTGAGAAATTATTTAGAAGGGGAGGTTGTAACTCTTCTGAAAGTACTTAAAATTAGTGTGAACTTGTTGGAAGCTAACAAAATAACAGTGCATTTCCCTTGTATTGGATAGGAGTACAGGACATTAACTGTGCAGATGCTCTTGCTCCTCCTGTTCGTGGCATTTCAGCAATGTGCAAGGTTCCCTGTCAGATCTGTTGTAAGTGACCTAATCACGAGCAACTTCCTGCATGCCACTCCTTTCACCTTACAGTCCTGCTTTCCCACTCACCGCTCTGTTCCACTTCTAAACATGCACTCTGTTTCTCTCTTCCTCTCCCTTGTCCCTTGCTATTCCTGTAGTGCCCTTTTCTAAAGCGTCCTCTTGGACTGCCCGGAAATCCCTTCGCTTTCTGATCTGTAAGAAACCAATTTGTTAACAGTGGGCATGCTAAGCCTGTGAAGTGCATGATTCCTGCCTCAGAGCATTCTGTGATCAGAATGTAAAGGTACCCTGTCATCTGCTAAAGTTTTGTTCATCATGCTATCTCCTCATTTTCCAATTAGCTTCCAGACCAGCCAGCCTTGATAGTGGCAGAACATCCACTAGTAATAGCAATAACAATGCTTCACTCCATGAAGTCAAAGGTATGCTGTAGGCCAATTTACATACGTGCTTCATTGCCATTATTTTCTCTGTAGGAATTTTTGCTTGAATTGAAAACAAAGCTAAAACAAAAGCAGCAACGCAGCATGCTTTTCTGTAGGTATGTTCATACATCAGCCTTTGTTCCCCAAATCAGGGAAGGATTCAAGTATTAATAGAACTTATATTTTTAATAGCTTTTTAAGTGGTGATACTAATATGTAGGTTTCAGACTATTTCAAACCAAATCTTACCCATTGAATGATCTTGCAAAATAAATATTCTCCCCAAATTATATTAAAATCATATATTATTTAGCAGATATTTGAGTTACTCTGCTATTTTTCATGTAGCATCCAACTGTCTGCTCACTGCTGCTGTGATGCTATGTAGTGTGCAACACAAAGCAGGCAAACTTGGCATATGCACCACCATCCTGGAGAAGTAGCATTCCAAAACTGTTGTTTCTGAACTACGTTGGAGAAAATATTTTCTTTCCATTCCATTTCTGATATTCTGTATAACGTAAAACTCATTGGTAGTAAATTAAAATGTGTGCTTTACAGGCAAGAACAGAGGCCTATCTTTAGTCTCTAAGAAAACAGCATTATGTAGACAGAGGTGCAGATCATAAGTGAAGGGTGGTTTTTAATTCAAAAGCTATTGTGCCCCATTTAAAAAGCCATGAGAGGTAAGTCAGGGGAGCGAGATTGTTCTGAGTTTGATTTGAGCAATACAGGTAACTGTTTTTCAGTATTCTGAGTGGAATTGCTGAGAACCGAATGTGAAAGTGTTCAAGTTTGAGTAAGGTTACAGTGTTTTAACAGCTTTTGTATATTTTGTGATGGAATATTTAGTACTGTTTACCCCAAAAGCAGGTGTGGTTAACAATCAAAGCAGACCTCAGAGTCACAGCAGCGGAGAATTCAGCATGCTACATGAACACGATGCTTGGTCAAGCAGCAGCAGCAGCCCTATTCAGTATTTGAAAGGTCATACAAGGTCTAGTCCTGTGCTTCAGCAAAGAACACCTGAGACACTGGATCGTGGTGGAAGATGGATCAAAACTGATTCTCCTGGAAGTGAGGTTGTTACCCTGCAGCAGTTCTTAGAAGAAAGCAACAAAAGTACCTCAAGTGAGGTTAGTTCAAAACATATTTTAACTATGTATTACACCATATAATTTACTCCAATTGACAGAGTTAATAGAATATTTACCACAATAGAATTGCTTTAGAACTTTGTGGATACTCTGGTTATGCCTACGTTTTGTAGTGTGGGCTGTATCCTGATATACTGTACTTGCTGTATTTTGCTTGACTCTAGAATGCTGAGGCAGATAAAAAAAGTCAAACTCTACTGCACACAATTATCTGGTGCACTGATGTGTGGTACACTCATCAGAATTTAGCTGGAAGACCATAAGCACAAAGAAAGCTTGCTGTTTATCTTCCAGTTCAGCTCTTGTCTTCAGTGGGAGCTATTGTCTTGCATCAACAGCAAAGGAGATACTTTATTTCAGTCCCTGAGGAGAGAATCTTGGTGGTTTCATGTTTACTTACTAACTTAACACCACTGGGCAAAACACCCGGCCTTGGGGCTCACTGAAATCTAGGAGTAAGATGCAGCGGATGTTATTTAAAATCAGTGCCAGTTTGTTAGAAACACAGAATCACTCTTGTCTCTGCTGCTGTTCTAATTCCTTCATCGCTCACATAGATCTGTCTGAAGCCTAGGAGTCTTCTAGACTCTAAGGCAAGGCAGTTACTCTGGCTAGGGCCTATCAAGGGTAAGGACCAACCTCCATCTATTTTAGTTACACAGTTACAATGGAAACGTACAGATTCACATCTGAATTGGAGTAGTCTGTGACTTGAATTTGGAATAAATCCCTGGATTTTTTGGTAGCTGCTTAACAATGATGTTGCACCTGTGATCTCACTGGCAAGATTTGTTTGTTTGTAGTGGTTGTTAGGTTTGTTGTTTGTTTTTCATCTGTTTAAAACGTTAGACAATGTTCTGGAAATAGAACTAAGAGACCACGTGAGTCATCAAGTCTAATCCACTGCTGCTCAGGGATCAGGGAATCCATTTCATAGAATCACAGAGTAACTCAGGCTGCAAGGGTCCTCAGAAGTTCTCCCTTTAGCCTTCTTGAAAGCCTTTCCTTAATGCTTTCATCTTAAAGATTTGTTCCAAATTGTTTCTTTTACTGTTTCAAAAAATGCCAAAGTCTTTAAGTCTATTTGAAACTCATCCAAATTCAGCCACCAAAGTTCTGTATGCTCTGTATTGTTTTCTGAGATTCTTGTCTTCATTATTTGAGTATGTGGAGGTGGTAAGCTTTTAGCTCCATATTAGCAGTGTAAGTTAAAATGATAGATCATGTGAAATTGCTTAGCAAAGTAGTGATGTCAGGTGCAGACAGCAAGTGGATGAGAAGATGAGCTTGAAGTTCCCAGCTTTTGGCGTTTGCACTGTTTGGTGCTATGGGTGCTGATTCCAAGTAGCTGTGATTGCCATGATGCCTCGTTTTTTAACTTGCTTGTAAGTAACTGTGCAGAAAACTCGTGTGTACAATAGCACTTTCAGTTCTAAGATTTTATATTTGAAAACACTTTCAGAATTGTTCTGTGTCCTCAAAGATCAATTAAGAAAAAGTAAAAATTACAAATTCTGCATTTACAATATGTTTGATGTTTTTGACAGATGAAATCTGGGAGTGAAGAGAATCTTTTAGATGAAGTAATGAGAAGTTTATCAGAGTCATCTGAGCTGACAGGGAAGGAAAAGCTAAGAAAGGCATCTGCTGGTTGTGGAATTGTGAGGTCACTGAGCGTAAAAAATCCAGTTGATTTCTCAGATGGACGATCCATTAAACCAGAGCAACTCGTAAGGCCCAGCCTTCGTAAAACAGAAGATGCCTATTTCACTAGCTCCCCAATAAAATCTACATCGGGCACTCAAGGGAAGGCCAAATCAGTGAAAGAAAAGATGCAAACAGCTGCATCACAGCGACAATCAAGGGATTGCAATCCTTATGCTACCTTACCTCGTGCGAGCAGTGTGATTTCTACAGCAGAAGGAACTACTCGAAGGACAAGCATTCATGACTTTTTGTCTAAGGACGTTAGGCAGCCTGTTTCTAGTGATCCAGCAACATCCACCGCTGACAGAAGTGCTCCAGCAACATCTAGTGAGTACTCAGCACACCAGTTATCCTCTCATTTTTTTCACTGTGTGGCTTACAGAGTAGATTGTGTTCCGCAAAGCAGTGCAACTAATACAGTTAAAGCACGTAATTTAGGATGCAACTCTGATGTGCCTAAGACTTCAAGGATGGAAAGGTCACATTTTTGTGAGAAAACTTTCTTAAGCACAAATATGTTTAATGATAAAGTCAGTCTATCTGGTAGTGAGAACACAGGATCTTTTACTGTGGTGCAGCCATTTTTATCCCTTAACACTGAATTAGTTAGTAATATAAGTGGATTGCCTCCAAGGTCCGCATCAAAAGCTGATCAGGCAAACCTGTCAGTGTTCGTACCAAAAAATCAGGAACAGCCTTTTACCAATCAGAAATCTGCTCATAGGGACCCACAGCCAGCACTAAGTAGTGAACTTGTTCCTACCAGCTGTGTGAACACCAGCGAGGCAGAGTCCCTGCTTCTTGTTTCTGAGGATAATAAAACCGTGTGGTATGAGTATGGTTGTGTGTGATAAGAAAAGTGCATTATTAAATATATAATTATGTAGGACACACAGGTGCTCTGCTGAATGTCCACTGGCCTTAGAGAGAATTTCACTACAATGAAGAAGTAACTTCATTTAGATCTGTGGGTTGTTTTTTCTTTTTTTTCCTGAGAGCAGTGGCATACAGTTGTGTACTCAAGCATGTGTTCGAATGTAAAATTGTAACCTCATCCAGGTTTGCATGAAACATTAATTGCACTGTATATATTTTGCATGCTTTATAAAATCTTTATAATGCAAGCTCTATTTTTATTTGTTGTCCATTATAAATATTTTGTTTTTTATCTGTACGTAACTGAACGCATGTTAAAGCAATTGCATGCTGCACTGCCAGGAATGGCAGTGAACTACAGCACTGTCAGTACAAAGTCTGTGCCTTTCAGTTCTGCTTGTGCTTCCAGTTTGTCAGTAACATGTTGACTCTGTGTTTGGAGTACAAATACATTTTTCCTTGTTTTTTTTTTTTTTTTTTTTTAAATGAGAATTTAATGAGAAGAATTATGAGAAGAAGTGAATGAGAAGAAGCTTTTAGAGAGATTTCAGTTCCTTACAACCTCCTGTGTGTCACTCTGCACAAGAAACAAAACTTATAATCCAGTAACTCAGTGACTGTCCTGCACAAAGATATGATTCACATTCCATATTAATGTTTAAATATTTTAGTAAGGAATTAGAATTACCATTCACAATTCTAAACCTCAAATGATGATTCTTTATTAAGAGGTAACAATGGAACAACATGCAGCACTTGCAATGAAAAAATGAGCCTTTCCACCTCTTCCCATTCATATATGTTGTCTTTCCACATCTGGTGTGCGAATGTGGTGCAGGACAGGATGCTGTTTCTCTAGTGATCAAATAACACTGATCTCAGAATCCATGTGTTGTACGGTAATAAACTTGTATTGATTATGGTGGAAATTCATTTTTTCTTCTTAATGTAAGTAACACTCATGTAATAGAAACCAAGATGTGTCACAGAGCAACAAAAACTGTTAAATATTAGTGCTGCAGAAGGCAAGTAATTCGGAACTTGCTTACAAATTTAAGTGTATAACTCATTAAGTTCCTGACAACCAGCTAAACAGTAAGGTTGAAAAGTGATGTCTTAATGAACCATGGTTTCAAGCAACTTCTTGAAACTTTGTAATGATAAATATATGTAAAATATATAAAAAATATACAGTCGTATATATGCATAAAATAATGAATAACCTATTCTGATTTTTCCAATTGAATTCATTTTGTCAGCAGTTTTGTGCCAGTCATGGTGCTGCTGTGGGAGCTGGACTTCCTCAGTATTTTAAGTCAGGAGGAGTAGAAGTGATGCAGAAATACAGTTCCTTCAGAGAAAGCAGCAGACATCCCATGTGTTGGTCTCTAAAGTCTCCATTTAATACGTGAGAATTGTTAATAAAATGTGGAGGTAGCTCTTCTACAGACTCACAGGGGTTGGAAGGGACCTCTGGAGATCCCCCAGTCAAACTAAAGCAGGCTTCCTACAGCACGTTGCAGGAAAATGTCCACGCAGGTTTTGATTATCTCCAGGGAAGGACACTGTGCCACCTCTCAGGTCAGCCTGTTCCAGTGCTCTCTTACCATCAAAGTACAGAATTTCTTTCTCATGTTCAGGCAGAACTTCCTGTGTTCCAGGTTGTGCCTTGTTCCCCTTGTTCTGTCACTGGGCACCACCAGAAGAGCCTGGCCTCATCCTCCTGACACCTGCCCTTTCCATGTTTGTCAGTGTTGATAAGATCCCCTCTTAGCCTTATCTCCAGACAGAGCACTCCTCGGTCTCTCACCCTTTCCGCATAAGGGAGAGATGCTTCAGGCCCCTGATGATTTCTGTGGCCTTCTGCTGGACTCTCTGCAGATTTGTCTTTTTTAAACTGGGGAGTCCAGAAGTGGACACAGTATTCTAAATGTGGCTTCACCAGGGCAGAGTAGAGGGGGAAGATCACTCCCCTTGACCAGTGCTCTTTGTAATGCACCCCAGGGTCCCCTTGGCCTTCTTGGCCAACCTGCTGTCCACCAGGACACCCAGGTCCTTCTGTGCAGTGCTCCTTTCCAGCAGGGAAAAGTTCCCTAACCTGTACGTATATCTAACCTGTATGATGTGTGTGGTTATTCCTCCCTGGATGTAGGACATTTGCCCTTGTTGACCCTCAGGTTCCCATTCTCTTGCCTGTCCAGGTCTTGCTGAATGACAGCACAGCCTTCTGGTGCCACTGATAGCTTCCTCTCAGCTTCAGATCATCAGCAGTCTTGCTGAGAGTGGACTGTCCCTTCATCCAGGTTGTTGATGAAGATAATGAATAAGACCAGACCCAGTACTGACCCCTGGGGAATACCACTAGCTGCTGCCCTTTGACCAGACTCTGGGCTGCTGATCACAACCCTCCTCTCATCTACCTCATGACAAAAGGCTACCAGATTGATCAAGCGTGATTTCCCTTTGGTGAACCTGTGTTGGCTATTCCTGATAACCTTTCTTTCTTCCACTTTTTTGGAGGTGAAATTCAGAATAAGTGGTTTCCTCACTTTCCAGGGACAGAAGTGATGCTGTCTGGCTCGTAGCTTTGCGTGACCTCCTTGCCCTTTTTGAAGACTGGGGTAACACTGGCTTTCCTCCAGTCTTCAAGTACCTCTCCTGTTCTCCATGACCTTCCATAGGCGATAGAGTGGTTTCTGCCAGCTCCCTCTGCACACGTGAGGGCATCCAGACCCAGAGGAAAAGGAGTAGGGGGATAAATGCGTTTGTTAAAGACATTCTGTGGAGCAGACAATTGTTGTTCCAAAAAATAAAGTAGCCCCCTTTTACCATGCTTGCAGGCATCTGTTATTATTGGGCTGATGATTTTTTCATTTAACTATTGTTCACAGTGTGCTGTACTAATCATTGCTGTATTTTGCCTTCAAATTGTTTCACCTTTCAAAACAGAAATAACAACAACACAACCTAAAATCTGAAGAAGAATCTTAATTTCATACCCATCTTAGTCTTCACTCTTAGACATTGTGTTCTGATCTTAAGTCTCGTCGTTCATCTTCATTTCTGTTAACTCAGAGCTGTGTTTGAATTAGCTTTGAGAACAGTGTTATCTGAAGCAACGTGCATAGTATATGCTGGGAGTTATTTGAGGAATTAGAGAAAATCTTTGTAGCATTGCCAGTACTTTGTGTGAACTCATTCTGTGTCTCCAGTATCTGTTCTTCTTAACTGATTGCAAGGTTGTGTCTCTTAGCAAAGCTTTTTTATGATCAGAACAAGGTTGGTAGCTAGAGGCAGTATCTTCTGTTTAGATCCAGTTGTCACTGTTTGAGAAATTGGTAAGGTTTCAGACGTGCTGTTAGCTCTTGTGTGGAAGCCTTACCTTGTGAGACTGTCACAACAGTGAAAAATAGAAGTATTGTCTCCAGATACGTGCTTGCTATGAAACTTACCTGCACAAACACTTGTCCCCACTTGTAATGAGTGATTGTAATGAGGGAAGCCAGTCTAAAGAGAAATTCTAAAGGTTCTTCCCCCATGGAGTGCAGTTAAAGCTTGCTTTCAGTGGAACAAAAGAAGCATTTTTCCAGCCGCTGCCCGTGGGGCACTTCAGTTTGCACTGCTTGGTTTATTCCCACAGCACATAACTTTCACATACAAAACCAGTCTGATAGTGAGCATTTATACCTGATACTTAATGCTTTGTGGCCTGTGTTTTGCATTATTCTGAAGAGGAGGGAGCAGCACTGAAACAGCTGCTTTCACTAAGACAAAAGGCTTCAGAGCAGCTGAAGTTGGCTGGTGTCTGTATCCTTACAGACAAGAGTTCTGACAAATGTTGTCCTACCCAAGCTACCAGTTTGCATCTTCCGTAACCTTGTAATGAATTAAATCTCAGTTCTGAAGATGATGGTTACTGTGCTCCTGTTCTTGCTCCACTGGGCTCACTGCAGCAGGAAGAGCATGCTCCTGGGCATTTTGCAATGTCTCTGAAAAAAATATGTAATAAAGGTTGTTAGTTTATGAAAGGAAACGAATGTTCATATGTATAAAAGGAACTGCTGTGTAACTTAATATAACTTTTTATAAACACTTCTTGGTCCTTACGTGCTAGCAGTACGTGTGTCGTGGATGTCAGTGTTGGTTTGTGCTCCAGGAGTAGAAGGAGCTGTGAGATTGGTTACAGATGCAGTCATTACTGCTCCTTGGCCATCGGGGTGGCTGACTGTCAAACACACAGTGCACTTGCTCGTTTCCTGTCCCTGGTGCCTTTAAAATAGGATGGTAGAACTCTGCATGGTCATTATAGACACTAAGAGGTGGCTGCCAGCCAAAAAAGGGGTGGTGGTTCAGGTTCGATGATTTGCTTGCCGTTAAGTGTTTGCTTGATGCTTTGCTTTGAGAGAATAGCAAACTAAGATACTGCATTTTGCACGTTCAAGCTGTTGCATGCAAAGATAATTTCCTGCTTAGCAGGATTCAATGTGAACGTTTCTGTAAATGTGTACCAGGCTGAAGAAAAAACAAAAAGGAAAAGATGAGTGAAGTTCTCGATGGGGTTGTCAGCCTTGATAAAAGATGATATTGTTTTCTCATCATACAGGCAGAGTTACAGGTTTAGTTTATATAAAAGTTGAACATATCTGATTGTGGCTTTGAAAACTGTACCTTATTATTCTGAATGCTGAGTAGGCGCTTCGTGAGTTTCTTCTGTCCCTCTCCTCTGTTCTCTCCAAAAACTCAAAATGTTTTTATATCCTTTTGCTCTACTAATAAGTAGAATGTATGTATGCATGAGGGTTTTTTCTTGTCCTGATCAATGTGATGAATAATATGAAATGCTTTTCTCTGCAGATGTGGAAGCTATCCCAGAAAGCAGAAATTCAAAATGCAGGTCTAGGGAGCAACAAAGCTCCTAAATCTATTACCCACTACATGAGATGTGGGCCAAGTGGTGAGTTTTCTGCCCAAAATGTAAATGAGATTAATTTCATTTACAACAAACTAACAGCATTACATGTAAGAACAAGCGCACAGCATTAACCAGATGTAAATACTGCTTGCTTAACTGGCTTTATCTTGCTTGTTAGTTAAGCCAGAATGTGTTGCTTTAGTGCAGTTATTTTGCCTGTGGAAATAGGGGACTGCATCCCACTGAGCCTTTCTTTTGCCTGTAAAAATGCCATTTATTTTTAGTTTTCAAATTTCTCTTGAAGGAGAAAGTACAACGAAGGCAAACGAAGCACTAATACTGAAGTCAGTTCTTAGAAAGGGACAGGTAAATCTAAAAGAGCAGTTAAAACAATTTTGTTTTGCCAAGTTTTCCATCGTATAAGAAAATGGCCTTTTGGTAAAGCTTGTCTTTGGCATTCTGTCCTCCTTTTGACGTGATTAGAACATCCTTGATGCGTGCTGTTAGTGCTGTTAGTGCTGTTAGTGACTTAACTCTGTATTTTATACTTCTACGCTTAAGCTTTTCTTACGTTCTTTTCTCTTTCTACCTTTCTGCCTTTCAACACAGAGAGAAAAGTGTCCTTCAGTGTCTCAATATGAAGCCTTTATTTCTGAAGTAAACAAGACAGCAACTGTAGGAATCATTAATAAATATTAAGGGAATTTTTTACGTTCTTCGTGACTAGAGCAGGCAAGAAATAAAAACCTACCTACCTTCCTTCCTTCCTTGAATCAAGGAGCTCTACTGGAGTCTGCTGCCGAAAACTTGTAGATGGTCTTAGGAATTATTGCACATTGCACTGTTAAGATCTACTGAATAAAGGACAGTTCTCATCTCCCTAAGGACCAAGAATTTTAAGGTCTCAAGAATTACTCCAGGAAAAAAAAAAAAAGCAAACAACTTCTTTCAGCTTCTGTTTATGAAATTAGCCACTGATTTGCTTAAGCTTCTGCTAATACTTAGCCAAAAAAGCCCAACCCATAACTTGCAGTTTATATTTACTTCTGTAAATTTAAAATAAATGCTGTAGTATTTTGTTGAAAGCGACTGTATATACAGACACAAAGACCTCTCAGCTTACTGGCACTTCCCTGCCTTATCAGTTAGCATAATCTGCATGGAATGGCTCTTATAAAGTTTATGCTGATTTCTTTTTGTTGCATACTGCGGGAAACAATTGTTTACATACATGAAAACATTTGATCACTAACAAATGTGGGGGCTCATGGGATAATCGTATGATATAGGAAATGTTTGTGTTCTTCACATTCCCGAGTTGTTCTGCATATCTGTGTTCAGATGTTTTTGACAGGAAATTGTCAGGTATGATTTCTCTGTAACTTTTATTTCAGCGTAAGGCTGTGTTCAACAAATGGCACTTCCAGGAGAGGGTTGTCCTGCCATGTTTGTGTACTGACTGATTTCTTCTTTCATTGTTTGTCTTCTGACATGAGTTGATTGCAGCTTAGGTGGTTTCTTGATGGCAAAAAAGAAAAAACAAAAAAAAGGGAAATAACGTGTGTGCATTTCACAATCAATTCCCCTTAAGGTTATCTTGTATTACTAAGATACATTTTGTTGGTTATTGACTTACATTAAAGTCAACACGTGTAATTGGTACATTCAGTGGTTGTCTCGGAAGCATTTGCAGTGAGCTCAAAGGAAGTGTACCTGAACTTAGAAGCAGATTTAACATTACTGTAATCCTTTTTTATTTCTAAACAGTAGGCACATTCATGTTTCTGTTCTCAAGGGTTAAATTAGCTGTGTAACCTCATGCCTGATCTTCCAGTGCAGCTCTCTGTTCATGTAAAGTAAGCAGGGCTCAGTCCTGGAGCTGCAGTGCTTGTAGAAGGATCACACTGCTGCTCAGACTGCCGTACGGCCGCTGCAGCTCCTTTCACTTCCTCTTTTTTCTTGAGGCGTACAGGTTGTGCCATGTATGAAGTCTCAAGCTTTCAGGGACAATGGGAACAGAATCATTTTCCACCTGAGAGGGAACGCAGTTCCACGGATTTAAAACGTACTGGCAAGTTGTTTCTTATTTTACAGAAACTTTGTCAAAAAGGAAAAGAGAAAAAGAAAGTTCAGGAAGTTTAGAGTTGGAAATTTGCTCCTTTTATTTTCCTGAAAGTGACTTCCTTCTGAAATTCTTCTTTATGATGGAGTGTGTTACAAGATCTCCATCAGAGTCTGGCAACATAAATGCCTTGTTCAGCCTGAGTGTTTTTCCACAGAGAACTTACAGGTTTTTTTTTCCACTTGAGTGAAACTAGGATGAACTTTGCAGCTCTACACCTTAGAGGAGTTTGATTTTTTCCTCTGATGATGTTTCTGGTGTTTAAATTCATTAGCTGAATTTCAGCATGAACTCATACAAGTGTCTCATTCTGGTCCCCTTCTTCTCAGTGCCAAGATTTCCATTGCTGCCTGCAGAGTGGTGTCATTGTTCAGTGATTCCAGGAGTGACCTGAAGCCCAGAGCGTTCCTGACATCCAGTTCCACAACATTTTTTGCAGGCAGTCTGAGGTCAGTTGCATGTGGAATAACTTCCTGTGCTGTAATTGATAGCACAGTCTTTTAGGGAAGGATTCGGGGCGCTCCAGGCTGCAGCGACAGCTTCCAGGTGTCACAGGCCGTACTGCAGGTACTGCTGTGTCCCTGTGTGCAGTCAGAGCTCAGGTATTACCGAGGTTCTTCCTCAATACAAAGTGAGCCAGAGAGGAGACCCCTGGTGTGCTCTCAGAGAAAATTATTAAGCAATAAAAACTTGATGTCAGGCCAGCTTTCTCTGCCATTCCTGTGCTGCAGTAGAGGCATAGCCATAGGGACCGAAGGAAAACTTGCCTTACAGAGTTTCTTAGCCATAGCTGTTAGGAAAGATAATTGAAATAAGTAAATACTAGGAAACTAATTCTCCATTTTGCTACTCTCAGGTTTGTTTCAGGGCCTGAGTGTTGGTGCGTTCTCCCAGTACCTCTCCTTGACAGCAGAGGACTGATGCGCTTGAAGCTTTTAAACCTAACCAATTCATAGTGTCACTATTTCTAGAACTCAGTGTGTCTTCAATTAACCCATGGTGCCAAGCATTGCTTGTACTGCAGCATCTGTGCAGCTGTGTGTGCTCTGGCGTGCCGCATACTCGAAGACCTGGGAATATTGCCATGGCTGACGTGTGGCACACAGCCAGGCACGTGCAGCCTTTTGCCTTCACTACACGTGGCTGTGTCATTCCTGCATGGGCGCTCCCCTGACTTCTCATTTTTGGGCTCTTTTCTGTATTCATTAAGTTGTCCAGAATTTCCCATCATGGCCGGGGTGCTTAGTCACAAATGTGAGAGTTACCACATAGCATGTATGGAAGGTGAAAAGCCTTTGTCCAAAAACCTCGGTGAATTTTCCTTGTTTGGGAGCATTGGTGGGGATGTGGCAGCTGAATTCATCCCACTAGTGCCGGTCAGGGCTGTGTGCCAAAGTGCTGGCTGGTGGCCCTGCACCATTCTTGGCAGGCTTGGAGCTGCTGGGCCAGCATCAGGACAGAGACCACAGGGGGATTTGGTTTGTATTCACCAAGATACACCAAAGCAGCACACACCAGGAATACATTTTCATTGAGATCAGATCCTAATACTCCCAGTGCTTACTGTGTGGAGACATTTCAGAGCAGAAGAGCAGTCAGGAAGCGCTCTGTACTCTGATGCCTTTCCTTTCCAGACTGGTATAACACCTCTGTAAGGCACCTCATCTTTCCATACGACTAAAAACCAAACTATCGATGTAATTCGGGGGCCACCTCCCCTTCTCTGAAACACAGCCTCCCAGGGCGCAGCACAGCGGCTGTGGGGCAGCCCACAAGAAGAGCACATCACTGTTAGCAGCAAGAGTTGAGTTGCCAAATGTGTCACTGTGAGTTCAAGCTTACAGAGTTTGTTTTCATACCGTACAGTGTAGAATTTCCATTTGCTTTGCTGATAGTCTGCTGTTATTTAGCAACATTCCCAACTTTGTCCAAGACATGGTGCAGCCTCACCAGAGCTCACGGATGATTCTTAGAGGTAGATGATAACGTATATGTAAATAATGCTTTGATATTAATAAAACTGCCTTAAAGGAATGTACCTAGGTGTGAAACAAAACTTAAAAAGCTCTTATTTAAAACTGTAATTTCCTTTACATATTGATTTTTTTTTTAATGTTTGCCATTGTATACATTTATTAATGATGTTATTAAAATACCGAACCAAATAATTTTTATCCTTATTTTGTGTATATATATTGATACACACATGTTCTGGAAACTGATGTTACTGGAAGGATATTGGTGTTCAGTGGTGGTTGTGCTCGGTTGGTGCTGTGTTCAGTATTTCTTCTGAAAGGAAACCTATAAAACTGTAGCAGAAATGTTCTGGGCGCTGCGTAGTTTGTTCTGTGCTGTTAATTTGTAAAGACTCATGTAGCTTTTAATATCCCTTATTTTAATACTATTTTTAAGACTAATTTCATAGTAAATACGTTAAGAATTCCTGGCGGGTTTGCCAAACGCAGGATTTGGAGCTTTGATTTTGCTTGCTGGTTATTTCTGCTGAAACAAGACTCAGAAGCTCTTCTAATAGTGAAGATAGTTTAATTTTTAGGCTTGCAGATCTTCAGACTTGTGAGAAGTGTAGGAATCTGCTATTGTGCACATCGTTGCAACTTATTATCTTTCACATGTAAAGCTTTCTGGTTTAAAAAACTTGACCAGCTAAATTTATTGCTTTTTACTCCCCCTTTTGGAAGTGATAATTCAGGAGTGCCACAGGGAATAAAGGGAAGGGAGAGTGGCAGTCAGAGGGCACAACAGATTTCACTTTTAAAGGTGCAGAAGGCTGTGTTGTATCTGCCTGTGTTAGAAGCGCGTTTGTCAACCTGGAGTTCACTGATCAGCTCACTTAAAAAGAAAACAAAATTGGGGGGAAATAAACTCTGATGGTGTTCCTCAGCTCCCAGAGCTGTCTTGGCCATATCTCATGAAACTGAGTCAGTTTCCTTGTGTATTTAAAATGTCCCCTTTGTCGTTGTTAGTAGTGCATCCTGTAGCAAGATGCAGTAGCAAATGCTAATCAGTACCACAAGTCTTTCTGTGGTTTTCTTCATTCTTTTTTTCCTCTTCTGTTTCCACCTGTGCTCATCCTGCTGCTTGCCTTCGGGCGTTTTTCTCACACCACAGCCATCTTGATCAGGCAATATTTAAGAGCCCTTTTACCTCTCATCTCCAAATGTTGTTCCTGGCTCTGGGTACTTGTGACCAGTTTGGCTGCTGGACATCGTGGACTTTCTGCTTAAGAAAGCATTGGAAAGGGGTTTTACTCATTTAGAAAGGAGAGAGAAGTAATTTCATTAGGAATTCAATGTTGAGAACATGTTGGTCTGGTTCCTGTGATAGCATATACTTTTCTGTACTAAATATATCGCCTATCCTAAGCCAAATCAGACTCCCCACAGCTTTTTGAACATCTGGACATTTGTGTGTTCGGTTCCCCATCTCCCAAAGGGAGAAACTCAAGTCTGTCCGCTGTCACACCCTTCTTTCCACTTACATGGCACTGGTTACAAGGGTACAGTGGAATAGGGAACATGCTCACCCTCCACAGGTTGATGAGCCAGAAGAAATTGTGCACAGAAGCTAATCCTGTGCCAGGTGGTATCTTCTTTCCTCCCAGGAATCAGCAGGAGATGCCACACCCCTGCAGGAAGCTGTGTTATTCCTTAAAGCTCTTGTCCTGGCTATTTGCACTGCTCCCTGTCTGCTCAGTTCTCCTTCATGCTCTACCACTTTTGTGGAGGCACGTTGTCCTAATGGGCTTAACACAGAAGGCTTAATGATTAGTTCCCAAAGGGAGGAGACTGTGAAATGAAAATGCAGCTAAAAATGTAGACAATCAAGTACAATTTCTGTAGTGCAACTAATTTTCTATTTTCTAGATGAAAATTAAGAAAGAAAAGCAACAGAGCAGGAGAGAAATCAGAATCATAGAATCACCAAGGTTGGAAAAGACCTAAAAGCTCATGCAGTCCAACCATTCACCTATTCCCAATAGCTCCCACTAAACCATGTCCCTCAACACAACATCCAGCCTTTCCTTGAACACCCCCAGGCTCGGTGACTCCACCACCTCCCTGGGCATCCATTCCAGTGCCTGACCACCCTTTCTGAAAAGTAATACTTCCTCATGTCCATGGGTACAGGTGAGAGAAAAAAAAAATCCAGACACTTCTGTACTGCGTGTTGATAGTTTAGACCTTTTAAGTTAACTTGTTATTACTAAATTATGTTTAGACCTTCAAGCCCAGTACCACACACAGTTCTACTTCATGCATTTTATTATTTATATAATGCCTTTTCATCCTGCTGGATGCTGGCAGATTGCAAACAGCTCAAGAATATTCTGCTGAATTTTCAATAACCTGAGCGTAGCATTTTTTCCACTGAGTGTTACAGTGTACAAAAGAGCAGGTCTGTTTTTCCAAGCTGTATTTATCACGAGACTCCCACCGGTTTTATGCTATAAAATCAGTGCCGAGCTACGCAAGCCTATTTAACATCTTCATCAAAATGTACAACGATTGGATCGTGACCCGTCGATTTCACAAACTTCAGGAAGTCCTCGGGGCTTAAGCCCATGGTGGCACAGTTTGTCATTGGATGAAAATACACCTTTTCGTGGCCGCCCTCCAGCAAGCCGGCGTCCAGCACAAGCTTCACATCTCCGTGGTCGCAGAACAGAGCCAGCGGTGTGGCACAGCCTTGGCCCACCTGTAGCTTCTCCAGCATGGCTTTCTCATCGGCGAATCTGAGGTTTCCGCTTCCCAGGCCAAGTTTTTTTGCCAGGTGGTTTAAATCCACCTGCCTGTCATGCAGGACGGTCACCAGCCAGAACCCTTTCTTCTTTTTGTCTTTAAGGAAAAGGTTTTTACTGTGCCCTCCTTTCATGTGTCGGACGTGGGCCATCATTTCCTCAACAGTGAACACCTGGAAAACACAGTAAGCGGAGCGTGAGGCTGCGTCCCGCAGGACTCCCGTTGCGTACTGGCAGCTGTCCGTAGTTAAACACTTAGAAAATACCCAGTGCGACGCTCAGCCTCAAAACCGTGCCCTTTTATGAAGAAATTTTAAAAGAACACGAATAAAATGACGTGCTGCTCCCGCCGTCTCTCTCAGTCACTCTGTACGTGCAGCGGGTGGGTTGGAAGGGACCCCAAAGCCCCGCCCGTGCCGAGGGCTGCCTGTCCCCCGCCTCACGCAGCCCACAGCCCATCCGCGGCCACGGGCACGGCGTTGGGCAGCACTGCCGGAGCCTCGATGCGGGGCCCCACCTCCGGGTGTTCCGCGGTGGTGGCGGCGATGCCCAAATCCCGCAGTCTCTGCTCCAGCGCCTCCCGCAGCCCCGGCGCCGCCGCCATCGCTGCTCCTCACACCACCCTCACTCTCTCGCCCGCCGGGCGCGAAGAGGCGCGGAGAAGCGCAGAGGCGCGACGTGGCGCCGCCGCCGTGAGACGAAGCCCCGCCCCACGCTGTGATTGGCTGAGAACCCGGTGGGCGCTGCGCCTGCGCGGCGAGTCCTGTCACTCGGCGCATGCGCAGAGCGGCTCGGCTGGCGTCAGGCGCGGGGCGGGAGCGGGCGGCGGCGGGGCTGGTGGTCGGTAGTGCTGCTTGGGGCAGCTCGGCGTTCTCACGGCTCCCGCCTGCGGGGTGAGACGGTTCCTGAGTTCTTGACGGAACCGCAGGCGTTGTGAGACGACTGAGAGCCGTGAGCTCGCCGGGGGCTGCCTGGGGCTGCCTGGGGGATGGTGCGGAGCCGCTGTGAGGGGAGATAGCCGAGGTACTGAGGGGGGCTGCGGGGCAGGTGGGTGCCCGGATAGCAGATTGAGTGGGAAGAGCGGTTAAATAGGAGAGTTACACGGGGTGGTTAGCGAAACGGATGGATAAAACGACGCGGGGTGTCTGACAGAGGCGTCTGGGTGTCAGCTGCCAGTCCTTGTGCCAGGCCTCTGCATTGGGCCCGCACCGCGTCCTTGTCTCTGAGCTGGGGAGGAGTGGTTCAGGGGGTGGGCCGTTTGGCAGAGAAAGAATTGATTGGATGGGGTTAAACGTTAGGAGGAAATTTTACTCAGAGGGCAGTGAGGCCCTGGCAGTGCTGCCCAGAGCTGTGGTGCCCCATGCCTGGAGGTGCCCAAGGCCAGGTTGGATGGGCCCTGGGCAGCCTGAGCTGGTGGGGGGCAGCCAGCCCATGGCAGGGATTGGAACTCAATGATCCCTTCTAACCCAAGACATTCTGTGATTCTGTAATCTTGGAAAGTTACAGGCTTAGCCTTGAAAGATGTCACTGTGTGCATAGGACAACACTAATACCACGATGGGGCTGCAGTCCTGCAGCAGTGGTATGGCTCTTGGAGGTGGCACTTTGCAGATTGCTTTTACTGACGGGGAGAGTTAGGTTGCAGCAGAGAAACTGTTAATGCAGCATAAATGTCCTTTGTTTTTAGGTCATGTCACCTGGGGTCGTGATTTTAGTAGTTTATATTAAAGTTCAGTAGGGATGGATGGAAGGCTTCTAAGTTGTGGTGATATTAATAAATCCAAGTTTGAAACAGGATAGTGAGAGAGCTGGAAGGTAAAGCCAAAAATGAACAGTGTTACAAAGTAGTTCATCTTTGTCAGCATCAAAAAGCCAGCCTTGTAGCATTTGCAGTCACACAGAATCACAGACTCACCAAGGTTGGAAAAGACCTACAAGACAATCCAGTCCAACCATCCACCTATCACCAATAGTTCTCTTTGAACCATGTCCCTCAACACAAACCCAAATGTTCCTACGGTCGGACTTGATCTTGAAGGTCTTTTCCAAACTGATCAATTCTATGCTTGTATGATTGTGATGTTTGTGTGTTTTGTTCCTATGAGTGTTATCCTGGCAGAGAGCAGCTTTCATTGTGTCCTCTTGCATTTTCAGTGAGGAAATGAATCGAAGGCTGATACTGAAGTTTGAAAATCTGATCCATTTCCATGGTGCTTGCAGACAGTTGCACACTCTTCCCTGCAGGGCAGTTTGCAGAGCACAATGGAAGCCTGTACAGTCATCTGTGTGTCCCACACGTTCTGTTCATCCATATCCACAGTGCTGGCAGAGAGACAAGTTGGTCAGAGTTGCCTTGTCACCATGCAGATATCTAGCTACTAAGGAGGTAATTCACAAAACCCAGTAATCTCTGGTTTTATGTGGAATTTCAAAGTGCAAGAAATCAATCTGGGCATTTAATAACAAAAAACAAGGATGCTTTATTAATGAATATACAGGAGCTATTGTAATTTTTATTTTTATTTTTTACAAAATGTAGTTATTTAAGGCTGTATTGTGACTCATTCTCAAATATTGATATGAAGTACTTTTACCAGCAGCATCATGAATCTTTCAAAGGCAGGAGAAAATGATTTGTTTTCCTTGTTTTCCCCCTCAGAAAATTAAAAACGACTGAAGGCAGTGTGGATACACATGTGAAGTGTTCAGTAGGATGTTTAAGTCTTTCATTTATCTTAGTGTTGTAGACAGAAGGACTGTTTGCAGCGTGCAGCTTGAGACCACTGTCTTTTCAATGTTGTTCTTATTACTTCTTAGTTAATGCCAGCTGTGTGTTCCTATGTACATGTCTAATTCCATGTAGGAGAAGAAAAAGGACAGAAGGAAATTACCGATGACCAAAGGGGAAGTGGAGATAAGGCGGCAGATGACTGTTGAGGAACTTGCAAGAGCAATGGGTAAAGACATAGGTGAGAGCCTCTCTGTTGTTCAGGATGCATTTCACTGTGGTGTGTCCATCACTCGTACCACCTTCATGAATGGTGAAGTCACAGGTATTCTAAGATGGTGTCAGTGGTTACCAGTCCATCCCTTTCCAACGTAGGCCTGTATCAAATCACTTGTTTCATCAAATTTATTTAACCAGAGAGGAGGAAGGTGTTGGTAGGCATGATGTCAGGCTGAAGAGGAAAAAATGCCAGGCCATCCAAACTGTCAGGGAGGACATTTCAGTGTAAAGAAGCCGGAACTCTGTTCTCCAGCAGATGGGCTTCAGTCTGGGTAGGCTGCTCTCTGGTTGTGCTCCCAGAGGGCTGAATTATATTGTGGGAAGAGAAACATTGCATCCTGCTTTGTTGAAGATGGATCCCTGTGAATTCAGAGTTCAGGGCTAAGGAGAGAAGGAGCAGAAGAGCGTCTGCCTGCGGTCCAGCCCTTACATCCCTCCCTGGGAGCAGGAACTTTGATTTAGGAGCAATCTGTGTTCCATTAAAACAGTCATTTGTGGTGGCTTAAGAACTTGCCCACGGCACTTTCCTCTTCAGGTAGTTCCCTAAAGCTGGATTGCAGAAATAGGCTTGTTTCTTTTAACCCCATGAACCGTTCCTGGCTGTGGCTCAGTTTAATCAATTATTTTTCAAAGATGTTCTAAGGAGTTATTAACGTGCTTTGACCATTGACATTTGAAATAATTACACACCTTTGTAATTGCAATTCCTAATCTATTTTATCCAGTTCAATACCTTTCTGCAAACTTCCCCCTCAGAAACAAAGAGAGAACCAAGAGTCTGTCGCATCTCTCTGTGCGTTTCAGAGAGATTTGTAATGATGCTGAAGTCCATGTGTAACAGTTCTTGATTATTGCAGTATGCTCTGTATATCCACTACCAGAGAGAGTGGCATATGAGCACGTTTATCAGATTTCCTTCTTCCTTATATCACGTGAGGCGGTCACTTTCCATAGACATTTTAGATAGAAGTTATTCCCTGCAGGAACTTCTAGATGAATCTGCCTAAAGCAAGAATGCTTTGTGAGTGAAACTTGTTGGTACAATCTGAGCTGCTCACAGACAAATCATCTTTGTGTGTTTCAGTCCCACATGCTTTTTTACGGGATTATTAAATGTCTTTCTCTTTGTTTCAGATCATATTTATGAAGCCCTGCTGTACTCAGATATTGACGTCAATTCCCTAGAACCAGATTCCATTTTATATGAAGACTCTATCAAGCTGATTGTTAAAAAATCAGGAATGAAGTATAAGTCAGCAAAACTGAGAGAGGAAAAAGAAAGAGAAAACAAAGATGCAGTGAAACGGTGAGCTGTGAACCATTCCTCCTTGTTCTTTTCAGCCTGTTTGCTTCTCCAAGGGTTGTTTGTGTACTGTGTTTTCTTCCAGCAGTGTGTAGATGGTACCTGATGTGGTCATAGTCAGGAAGTATGCACTATAGATAGTGTCACAGGTATTACCTGTGACACTGATGCTCAGATTGATTAGTTTTAGGTGTTTTTCTAAGTGGTCCTCTGAAGTAAAGCCAACTCTTCTTCAGTGTTCTGAATTACTGCACTAATTAATGCAGCAGGAAGATGGAATGCTAGGAGGGCAAACTGTGATGTAGCTCGGGTTTGTGGTTATGGTGGGGAGAAGCTAGGCTTACCTCTGCAGTGCTGGCAGATGGCACTGGGTTAGGCACAGGGGGCACGGGGTGGCGTGGTGAACTGACCTGATGTTTATGAAACATCTTTTGTCTTGCTTGCAGACCTCCTGCAGACCCGGCATTCTTAACTCCGCGGCCCCCAGTTGTTACCATAATGGGCCACGTTGATCATGGGAAAACAACTTTACTTGACAGCCTGCGGAAAACTCAGGTGGCAGCCATGGAAGCAGGAGGCATCACACAACACATTGGTGCTTTTCTTGGTATGATCCAAGTGTACTTGTGTGTGTGTGTGTATGATGACTTATCTTACGTAGCGGGCTGACTCGCTGACAGGTCACTGGGGAAATGTTGCAGCATACCCAGTTTATATGCAAGTAGTGAAAAAGGAAAGCATAACTTGTAACTGGAATAGAATAGTTCAGTTGGAAGAGACCTCAAGAGATCCAACTGCTGGCTACTTCTGGGCTAGCCAGAAGTCAAAGCATGTTACTGAGGTCATTATCTAGGTGCCTCTTGAGCACTGAGACACCTGGGTCATCAGCCTTTTTTCTTAGGAGCTTACCCAGTGCTTGACCACCCTCACAATGAGGACGTTTATCCTAACACCCAGTCTGGACTCTGGCACAGCTTTGTGCCATTCCTGTGCTTCCTGTTGTTGGTTAGCAGTGAGAAGAGACCCTTCTTCCCTCTCTGTTTGTTCTGCTCAGGAAATTATAGAGAACAACCAGATTACACATTGGTCTGCTTTTCTCTCTCAACTAGACAAATCCATGTAACTGTGTGGATGAAACTTTGAAGTGAATTATGTGTCCAGTTGAAATTAGACCGTTTTGGATTAGGAAAGATTCCAAGATGTCTTTTTTAATCCTCTAAGAAGAAAAAGCACTCTTGACCACCGTGCCAGCAGTCACCTGTCTGCCTAAAAAGTCTTTTATTTTTCCCCCTGTAAGTCCTCAAATGAGTAGTGCTTAATTTACGAAAGGTCAGATAAAGCTATGCGAAATGCTGATTATAAA